TTAAATGAGAGTTTTTTGTCAATAGTTGCACCAAGTAGTTTTTCCTCGCTGCCTTCGCTGATTAGGTTGCTGTCTATTTGTATGGCTAAGTCATTACTTTGATCGCCAAAGGTCATGAAGTGGCATTTGTCCCCATTCAACTTCACACAGTTGTCTTTAAACCATTCTGCAACTGTTGAGGAATTTTTCTCCAATTTTTCAATTACATGTGAGGGGTTAATGTCGCTCACATAGAGGGTTGTGTCATCTGCATAGCTGCATATTACTATGTCTGGTACAAACATAAGCAGATCGTTAATGTAAATATTAAATAAGAGAAGCCCTAGAACTGACCCTTGTGGAACACCCTTGTCGATTTCTTTCCATTCACTGAAGGACCCATTTACTTTCACTCTTTGTTTCCTCTTGTCTAGATAGCTATGAATGAACAATAAGGCTTTTCTGCTGAATCCATATGCATTAAGCTTTGCTATCAAAAGTTCGTGGTTTAAGCAATCAAAGGCCTTTGATAGGTCCATAAAGACAGCCCCGACACACTCTCCGACGTCCAGACTAATCTTACATTTTTCAGTGAAGCGCAGTAGAGCATGTTGTGCACTATAGTTTTCTCGAAATCCACAAAGCAAAGGGTTAATTAAGCCCAGTGAAAACGGTTTCATCTGAGATTCCATTAGTCTTTTGTATACTTTTGAGACTGGTGGGAGGACCATGATTGGTCTATAGTTTTTGTTAACATGTATATCCTCTTTTTTATGAATTGATTAAATATCACCAGCTTTAAGCTTCGATGGGAAGTGGCATTCATCCATGTTATTATTGAAGCAATTTTGTAGAGTAGCTGGAAACATTATTGGATTGTTTTTCAATATTTTTGCAGGGATGCTTCCTATAGGGGATATTGTTTTTGCATTTAGTATTTCGAGCTAATGTAAAGCTTCCAGAATAGTGATATTACTAAAGGTAAACGGCTTAGAAGGGACCCAATTCTCTTTTATCTTATTAATACTTGGGTGTTTTTCATATATTTTAATAGCTATATCAATAGGGTCACTTGTTCCAATTGTTGACGATAAATGAGCTTCGTTTTTGGTTATTCCTAGTTCTTGGGTTATATTAACGAAGTAGTGGTTAAAAATTTCTGCAATAGAAATAACGTCATCGTTCACAAGTTCCCCGTTTTCGAGAAGAGTAATTGATTGGTAAGTTTGAACCTTATCTGAAAAGATTGGTTTGACAGACTTCCAAAATTTACGGTTATCGGTAATGTCCTTTGGATCTAGGTTTCTAAAATAGTCACGTTTTCTTTTTCTGAGTAGCTTCACACATTTGTTTCTTTGCTTTCTGTATGCACTGAGGTTTTCCTCAGTTTCGGTCTTATTACATATATTTCTTAATTTAGAACGATGCATAATTGCTTTTCGTAATTCTTTGTTCATAAAAGCCTCATTGTTGGTACGTATATACTTTCTCTTTATTGGTATATGTTGCTTAAGTATCTCAGTGATCGTATCTTCAAGGCTATCATAATCCACCCTGTCTGATAGTGTGAATAAGTTTGTAGGTTACTAGATCTCAAATTGTAGCTAAGATACTAACCTAGACATATATAAAGATGACACATAAAAGAAAAGAGCATGCAGGTTGAACTTATTATTATTTTCTTGGCACAATTTCAAAATATTATATCTATTAGGTTTGCTTGAAAATATTTCGAAAAATGTTAGACTAGAATTATTATTTTGAACAGATATTAGAGTTACTAAGAGTTACAAATAGAACCATTGTTTTGCTGTTATTATGCGATGTCTAACTGCATACATAGAATCCTTGATTTAAATAGAGAACCACAACCGTCAATAATTGATTTGGACTGAGCATATTTTAGCCTTTTCTCTCATTAGTTGATGTGGCTCAAAAAATTTATCTACCACACCCTGAACCAGGGCCTTTTGGTTTGCTGGCAACCCTGCAATTATGAAACTGAGCAAAACTGAAATATAGCAGAATTAAGTGTTGAGCAGTTAACAACAAAAACTATACATTTTAACAGCTACATAGATATTTTCTTTAGTTTTGGAATTACTGCAATCTCAAATTTCCTGAGAATAGATTTTCACGAGTTTTATCCCATGATAGTTATAACCGTTCAAGAACCACAACCGTATATGTTGCCACACCCATTTTGTCGGCAAACCACTGGTATTGCACCGCCTTCCCCACCTCCATGAAAGTTGGAGACAGTATTTATTGATAAGGCAATCGTTTATAGAAAAATATGATTGCTTTAACAAGTCTTTGTATACCTTTCTATAAGCGAATTCCAGTGGCTGCACATATCACTTTCTACCAAATTAATTTTTCTATAAGAAACGTGGAAGCATAATGTGTCTTCCCCTGATCCTACGAGAAGACACAATAATTTTTCCACAGTTATGCAAAAAACATTTTCTAATCATTGTAAATGACTGAAAGGTTGACCGTAATCTAAAAAAATTGAAAATGTCGCAATAGAACACAAACCACTATGAAAGCAAGCTTGCAATTAATAGTTCATGCAAAACGAGCAGAAATACTTGATTTGGATCAGGTTCTCAACAGGTTTAGGAAAATGTAACCTAACAGCAGAATCATTTTATAATGAATTCTGTTATTAAGGGATTCTCTATTAGATAAGGGACAGTATAATTGCCATTGAAACATTTTAATCACGGCGTATTTTGAGTAACAGTTTTTGAAATACGTCTTCCTGATCGAACATATCAATGAACTTTTTCAAGTCAAACTTTCCAAAGTTTACATTTCTTCCTTTTCATTTGTGATTTAGATATGGAACAATTATCAAACAAAACATCAATTTTAATAAGAATACTATGTTTTTTGTCCAACATTCATATCATTATAATATTTTTGCTTCAATATATTCTTAAATTATTGCTATTTCTTTTAAAATCTGATATTTTTTCATGGTAACATAGTTAGAAGGTGTTAGAAGAAATAGCCACGCCCCCGAATAGAAATCGCACTTTATACAAAAATGAAACATCTCGGCCATGCAATACTCTGTCATTACAAATACAAAACAGGCTACTGCGTGCTATCCAGTAATTATTGCAAAGTCCTAACACTGTAACTATTGAAAAAAATCTTTTGAGGCAAGTAACTTGAAACAATGTTCGTCTTGCCATGCGGTTAAATTCTGCATTTAATAACGCCAATCCAAGCATTGAAAGCATCCTGCATGATATGATTAAAGCTAAACTTCATGCATATGGTTTTGATGAAAAGTCCTGGTTCTTGCCTATTCCTATCTTAAAAAAACGGAAGCAGAGTATCCGAATACATAACGTATTCGCAGAAGCAGAGTATCCTTTCAAGAAATTGTATCAGGAGTACCACAGGGATCTGTTTTAGGTTCTATTCTTTTCAATTTCTACATTAATGACCTTTTCTCTTTTATAAAGCAAGCAACCATGTATAACTATGCTGATGACAACACGATTGCTTGTTTTCCAAATCCTTGCAAGATCTTGTCAAGGTCTTGGAAAATGAAGCCGACAGTGCTTTGCTATGGCTCGAGCAAAATGAAATATTGCGAACCCGAACAAATTCCATGCAGTTTTTATTAAAAAGGACCAGACAAAATCTTATAGCATAAATCTTAACTTTCAAGGATATTCTATCAAATGTGAAGAGACTGTTAAACTCCTGGGTGTAACACTAGACTAAAAATTGAACTTTGACCCACATATATCAAACCTTTGAAAAAAGCTGCGGCACAATTGAAGGTTCTTAAGCGACTCAAGTCATTTATTGGTTTCGCTGAAAAAGAAGTTTTGGTTCAAGTTTCGTGTACTAGAAAATTAAACTACTGTCCTTTAGTTTGATATTGTTTGTCTTCGAAATCACTTTAAAAAATTTAAAGGATACAGGAATGCGTGCTAAAATTTTTAGCGGTGACGCTCTGCTCAGTAGTGACAAATACCACAATGAATTCGCTGCTTATTTTAACATGATAGAAGCAAAAGCAATAAGCAATGAAATTTTATTGGCAATGGGACTGCGCTACGAACTATTTAGAAGAAGACAAGATACATCGGAAAATGTAGCTAGATATTACAAAAACGAGGTTGAGTTATGTTGTCTATTCATTTTACGTTTACCTCATCCACTTTAGGCGCCTTCGCCAAGGTATTGACTTTTTAAAACTTTTACGACACTAAGTTGGCCTTAAAATTAATTTCTTTAAAACAACCTTGACCAAGTCTGTAGTCCAAGGAGCAAAGCATGAGGTCTTTCTATTGATAACGGGCTAAGCTTGAAACGCCGTTAATAAATTCGCTTTTTTCTTACTACAATTTTACTTAACCTCCTTGTTATCATCCATTATATTTTACAGCACAAAAAGTATTATAGTTTTCTTTGACCACTGAGAAGACACCAAGAACCTTGAATACTGGAGTACTTTAAGGTAAATGCCATAGACTGCAAAGAGGTTTGAATGATTTTACCAACTTTGATCGTCAGCACATAGATATCTTGACCCGAAGAAACTTAAGCGTTTTTTATTTTACCTTCTGTTAAGGGGAGGGGGGCTAGCCTTCTCCGATGGGGGGGGGGGCTGTAGCCCGTCTCTCTAAGATCACCACTGAATCCATGCATTTAGAGACACATATTAAGAAGATTTTGAAGATTTCCTACCAACACATATGGACCACACAAACGTGTATCTACACATAATAATTATGCCCCACCAAACCCCCCCTCCCCAGAAAGTTTTTAGTATGTTTTTTGTTCTTTTTATTTTGTAAACCGGCAGCCTAACGGTATAAGAAAGTGCTGAAATTGATCAATCAAGTTCATCGATAGCCAAAAAAATCAAACAGCAACGTTATTTCATGGACTGTCGTCATTAAAAATTTCCTCAGACTCCAAATTTTTCAGACAAATGTGTATCGTGCTTATTTCATACCACAGATTCCTTGGTTCAGAAAAAAACAAAATCTTGAAAGCGAATCTAATTAACAATGGAAAAAATCATTAAAACAAACAAAGCACTAGGGAAAGCTCTCAACCTATCCATAGTATCGGGCATCCTTTCCGTAGTATCGGGCATCTTTTCCGTAGTAGCGGGGATCCTTTCCGTAGTAATGGGCATCCTTTCCGTAGTAGCGGGCATCTTTTCCGTAGTAGCGGGGATCCTTTCCGTAGTAATGGGCATCCTTTCCGTAGTAGCGGGCATCTTTTCCGTAGTAGCGGGGATCCTTTCCGTAGTAATGGGCATCCTTTCCGTAGTAGCGGGCATCTTTTCCGTAGTAGCGGGGATCCTTTCCGTAGTAATGGGCATCCTTTCCGTAGTAGCGGGCATCCTTTCCGTAGTATCTTTTCCGTAGTATCGGGGATCCTTTCCGTAGTAATGGGCATCCTTTCCGTAGTAATGGGCATCCTTTCCGTAGTAATGGGCATCTTTTCCGTAGTATCGGGGATCCTTTCCGTAGTAATGGGCATCCTTTCCGTAGTAATGGGCATCCTTTCCGTAGTAGTGGGCATCTTTTCCGTAGTATCGGGGATCCTTTCCGTAGTAATGGGCATCCTTTCCGTAGTAATGGGCATCCTTTCCGTAGTAGCGGGCATCTTTTCCGTAGTATCGGGGATCCTTTCCGTAGTAATGGGCATCCTTTCCGTAGTAGCGGGCATCTTTTCCGTAGTATCGTGGATCCTTTCCGTAGTAACGGGCATCCTTTGATTTCACAGCTTTGCCATGAGCAATTGAAAACAGTGCAATAAGCACCAATAGGATCAATGATTTCATATTTGCTGCAAGGGAATGTACGCTATTAGAATTTCATTTTAAGGTAAAACTTTCAAAATGTATGCTATTTGATCCGTGCTATTTTTGACCTAAATATAGAAAATGACTTCAAAAACTTGAATAGCCTTTAAAGGTAATACGTTAGTAAGCTGCAATAATATTTGAAATGAGGAACAAAAATGAAAAGAGAACTTACAGAGTGACATTTTATTTGCACTTAATCAGTCATATTTTCGGCCATATATTTGCACCAACAAACAATATTGTATTTGTTTAATGTTTCTATTGTATTTACATTCTCTTTGTAGCCTATCTTCACTATTCGCTTTGTTTTAGTTAATCCCCTTAATTGAGCTGTTTTAATGTAGTTGTTTTCATAGTTACAATGTTTATTCAGGTATTTATATTAATATGAACAAAGGTAAAATAACGAATCTACGCAGTTGCTGCTCTACCCTAGAGCTGCGTTTGAAATCCCTGTCAGCTCATAAAATAGGACCCCTCTAAAACTGATGAAAATATTATCCAACCTTTTGGAACAATACATTTTCGACATTGACTTTTATCTTCCATATAATGGATTAAGGATTTTTTTATCTTCCATATAATGGGGGAAAATTCGCCTGCTATCTGAAACCTTCCAAATATTCTGCTGGAACAGGGCCTGCGCCACAAGGGGAACAGGAGTCCGTGTTCTTCCTAATTTCTTGCTAAACGAAAAGTAAAACTCAGCTCAAATTTTTGAAAAAGATAAACCTAAAAATTACAACAAACACATTAAACCAGAGTCAACAGGTAAAACAGTATTAACAAAAGTTTTCCGTGGCTAGACAGGTTAAGAGGAAACCTTCTTTACATTAATGACCCCTCCAGTTTAGGATCAGTGGAGCGAGCTTGGGAATGGATAAAGATATTCACCAACAGATTAATTTGAATCGCAAAATATTTCAATCTTGTTGATTAAATAGACGATGTGAAATGATATGCAAATAATGTTCAAAGATTCCTCAAAGATCTGATTGAAAATTGTCCAACTTAGCGCAAATGCAAATGATTTTCTGAGTGCTGTGACAAATTAAATAGGACAGCAATTTTACACATGTATCAAGGAGGTCTTGATAGGCTGCAAAAGAGTTGGTAGTATGATATATGATGTCCTTACAAAAGATCAGTTTTAATGATTTTAGAAATCCCATTGAAGAGAAAACTTCAACTGTGAATTTTACGGTGTTGCGCCCTTTTAAAAACCTTTTTATCAAAAGTCCCGAGCTAACTGAAATGGTACTCTCATTTCTGTTTACACGATGTAGTATTGACAGGCAATCCTTAAAGCTTATAGAGAAGCCATCTAGATTCGTCTTGTATATAAAAATCATTTACTATCAAAAGCTCTAGATCCAACTGAAATTAAAGTAAGAACCCAAGCCATTTATACGAGCAACGCGTGGCGGTCGACTTTCAACCTGTGAGTGTTGGATGTGATTGTGACTGTAAGTGGGGCCAATATGTCGAAATTGAAATAAGGAATTTATTTACCTTATCTTTAATTTATTTTTGTTAACTTTGAAAAAGTTTTTTATCCCACTGACTGTTTTTGTTTTAGTAATGGATAGCCTGGATAATTTACCAAAATTTCGTTCTATTCTCGCTTCTGACCTCAATGACTATTGCATATGATTAGATGAGAGCCAACATTTTCCCCTCCTACTATGAGCCAGGTAATTTTGCCGATTTTAAAAAGAATTTAAGCCTGGTTTAAACGTCGCAATTCTCATGTTCCGAACCTAACTCGAGAACTAAGTACATGAGGGGCGCGACGTTTGAATAAATTTGGTACGGCAGATTTAGTTAGGAGTGGCAAACTAGTTTGGATCGCCAGAGCTTGCCGAGCTGCACGACTCCAGCACGGCACGGTTTCAAGCGTCGAACTTGCCATTGACCGAACTCAATGCTTAAATATATTTAAATTATTTTTTTTTTAAATTTATCTCACAAAATTGGATTCTCGTTGCCGTTTTGCTTTGCTTCTGAAATTTAAACCTAGATACTTCCTAAAATCCTAAAATCCATTTAGGGCGACATGATTAAGTTAAACGACCACTGTAAACAATCCTAAACTGGCAACTGATGACATGAACCATGACCTGGACATTATAAGATCATGAACAAATAGATAAAGGATGTCCTTCAGCCCTGATCCTAGAAAGCAAGCTGTGGAGATAATTTTCTAAACACAGAGACAAAATTGATCGTCCCCGATAATTGTTGATAATATCCAAGTAATGCCCGACAGGCTTACACTCGACCCAACAGGTAAGAGCAAAAGCTAAAGGTTATCAGCATTATGTCTGCTGACATATTTAAGGGCTTCATCCTAAATGATGTTGTTGACTTTTGTGACAGCAGACGTAGTAATCTTTTCAGTGTTGTGATTATTCTGGAAAAAGGATGTCATTATCTTTGCTTTTTCTTAAATATCGTCATTGCGGGAGCAGATTCGAAGGAGACGACGTAGCTGGGAGTATGAATTGGAATTTCTGCATTTTGAGGGTGGGATGAAAAGAAGTCAAGAAAGCTGTGTGAATCTGTTCCAGCTTTTTAAGTTCCATCATCACTTTTCCATTTTACTTGATAACGGGCGATGCTCGAAACGTCGTTATTCATTAAATCTAGTATCTATTCCTGGTACAACTTGCTAACATTCATAGTTATTATATCATTTTATTGTACCGCACGCAATCTAGTATATTTATGGAATTATTATAGTTTGTTTGTGGCACACTTGCGTTGAGTGAAAAAGTGCATTCGCAATACGATGTCAAAAATGATGTTTATAATGACAATAAGTATAATAGATAATTTGTTTACAGTTGGTGTACTAGATGTATCTCTAATAGCTATAAAGAACCTAATTAAGGCCGACTATTTATGAAAAATGAATGTAAATTTAATGAATGGCACAATGTGAAATAAAACCTTGCCCAGCAATAAATAGTTCACATACACTAAAGTCAGACAATGCAGGGTGTGCTCTTAATTCTTTTTTAAAAGTTGCTAATAATTGAGACTCTCTTTTGTTGCGAGGAAGCATTTGCCACAGCTTCTGACCAAAATATCTCATAGCTCCTATACCATGAAAAATTAGCCTGGCTTTTTGAGTGCCAAGATTATTTTTAGTTCGCAAATCATAAATTACATTTCTTACTCATGAAGATAGGGTTCAGCTTGTGTTTGGTTTTGCATATTTTTATCCTCAAGTACTGTAGATTGTGTTAGTGAATTGATACTGCCTTTTCTGATGTCAGGAAAGTTTCAAAGTCGGCATGACTGCCTTTATAAACAATTCTGAGTACTTTTTCCTTGATTTTAGTTACTTCAGCATTTAGGTATCTATTATTTAACATCCAAGTTTGCGGGTAGTAGTTATAGTAAGTATTTATGAAGTTGTTCATTAGGAGACGCAGTTTAGCAGAACCCATAAACGAAAATTCTCTAACAATGGCATACAGTTTTTGACTGGCTCTTTTGCATAAATTTGAGACGTGATTTTTGACATTACGATTTTATCTTAATATCATCTTGGTTTGTGCCAAAAGTCAGAAGATGACACTGTCTTTCACTCGATTTCATAAAGTTTTCAGGAAACCACTTCGATAAAACAAAAGCACCAGTTTCTAGCCGTTCTAAAGGCCGATTTTCATTTGACATTTTTTGTGCACGCAGGCGTAGCGCCCAAATCAAGTTGATTGGGTCTCAACTTGCTGGCAGTCACAGCGGACGCAAATTCGAGACCACTTGATTTGAACGACGCTTACTCAGATTTGGGCGCTATCTCGCGCGCACAAAAATGTCATGTGGAAATCGGCCTTAAAACGTTACCTAATTGACAGTCAGCTGCAAAAATCTTAGTATCATCAACAAAGTCACAAACTGCACTATCAGCTACCTCGAAAAAAAAATTCACTAATGTATAAATTAAAAAGAAGAGGCCAAAGGACTATTCTAATACTGCAGAAGAGCGCATATAATATTCGTTGAAAATCATACCTCAGATCACCTATGTCAAGTCTGTCTACCTTTGCTCTTGAAATGTGTGTGCAAACGGCGATTTTGTCCCTTTTTATGGTCCACTAATACTAATCTTCCTATTATGCAAATGAGCCCAAACAATGGATCCACAACGCCCGGCGATTGTAACGCTTCCTTTTCGAACTCGAAGCGGTCCTCGACGGTCGTGTCGAGTGCTACAGCTACAGTCAGTAGTGGGTGCTCTCGATCTCAGGTGAATGAGTCTCCTGGGCTTTTTTTCGTTTGCAAGATCCATGTAATTCGTGCTTTTGACGATCTTCCTTTTCGTTTTAGTAGCTACGTACGGTACACGCGCTGCTGCCCGTTTCTTTGGTTCTCCGATGGCTGCTGGCTGTACTCCTTCTTCTCTGGCATCAGAATCGATGGTATGCGAATACAAGTAAGCGATGTTGTTCTTACGTGTTTTCGATATTACTTATTTCAAATGATTTTGTGCTCATTTCTATGAAATTACACTAAAAAATCGACCGCTATACCCCCGCCGTGAACGAAAAATTGCAATTAAAGGCAATCTGTTTCGTTGTGGATTGGTTAACGAGAACAAAAGCTGGAACAAAGCCTAAACATGATTCCACCGCTCCGCCATATTTTTTACAATGCGATAAATTAAAGAGGGACTAGAAACAATAACAAATCCCTTTGTTCTTATAATCAATCAACATTGTGACAGATTGCCCTTAAGTATGAAGAATTGTGGTAGATTTTTCCTGCTTTTTATTCTTGATGCAAGAAAATTTGATTTTCATATGAAACCCGTTGTAATGCGAATTATGTATTTCCAGCCCCCAACTTTTCCATGCCTGACGAGAATCCTTTGCAGCAACTTTCCCTAACCAGCTTTTTTTTTTGTAGATGAACGATCGGATTCACTGACATTTTGGTACAGCAAGTGAGTATTTTTCGATTAAAATTTCACTTTTTGTGCGATTTTCCCACTGAGACAAATAAGATTTGCCTGCTTCTTGAGTGAAAATTATTTCTAGCTTTGAAAGCATTTTCGGAATTGTAAATGAATCATTCTAGAAAGCATTTCAAAGGACTTTATGCTTATTTGGGTGAAATTACACTAAAAACCGGTCGCTAAAAGGGGTCGCTAGACCCAACGTGAACGTGTTTCTTTTAATGTTTTACCTCCTTCGTAGTTTTGTGCTTGAAAGAAAATGGATTTGCTGTATTTGTCGCCTAACAAGACCATATTCAAATGATTTTATGCTTAATTTGATGAAATCACACTAAAATCGGTCGCTTAAAGGGGTGGCTAAACTCTCGGGGCGAACGTTTTTTCTGAAATTTTTACAAAGCATTATGACTATCGATTTCCTTAAAACGTGCTTTCATTAACCATAGAAGAACATCATTATTCTTTTTGTTCTTCATCTAGATCAAAGAGCGTTTCAAGCAATAATTATGACGCAGACGTGATCCTCAACCCCTTCGAAACGAAATTTATGGCATTTATGCTGGTGATAAATCAAACAATAAAACAAGAATAGAACTTGACTATGGAGAAGAGGACTTGAGTTATATGGATTATATGGATTAGCTGTTTTCCTCAAATTGTATTTTGTTAATTTGTTGTTGGAGTAAGAATCCTTTCTGCTGTTCGAAACTTTGGCTGTTTTCTATCTTTCAATTTCTTAGTTCTTTGTTGCTGCAGTGTTTCAAAAGCTAATTATGACGAAGATATGATACCTAGGCCTCAAATGAAAAAAATTGCGTAATAATTTTAATTCTTTGCAGTTTAGATCTCAAAAAGTCATCTTATTAGGATTTGACATTCTTTTAAGAGTTTTGTTGTCTAAAAGGTTTTCAGCTGATGTTTTAACAAACACCATGTACATACAGGTTAGAAGGTCTGACAACTCAAAAAAGCTGATGTGGACCTGCTATAGATTAAAGGGTAAAGGAAATAATTATTACATCATGTAAAAAATAAAAAAAAATTAAAAATTGTTTACTAGCAGTCTAGTAATATTTAAAATCATTCTCTTTGTTTAAAAAACCAGTTAATCCTTTTTGAAAAGTGAAGTCATTTATTGTCTGACACACCTTTTTTAGTCTTGTTTTGAAAATTTGTACATTTTCTGCATCCTTAATCTGGTCTGGGATAGAATTCCAAATCATTGTTGCCTTGTATGTGAAACTATTTCTCCCAGTCTTTGTATTATATCTTTTCACTTCGAACTGGAGTTTAATTCTTGTTCTTTGTTTTTCTGGGTCTTTCTTCTGAAACATCTGTGCAATTGATTGTTCAGCTGATCCAAAGTATATCTGGTGCATCAATTTGAGCAGCCTCCGTTTATACAAAAATGAGATTGGCTGCCAATTTTTTCTTGCAAGGCTCTCTTCATTGCTTAAGTTTCGAGGTAGATTGTGTATTAGTATCGCTGCCCTAGCATTACTATCCTCAAACATATTAAATGTAGCTTCAGAACAGTCCCCCTACACTGAAATGCAGTACGTTGTCCTGGCAATGATTGTTGTGTAATATATTTCTTCTAAGACTTTGGATGGTAGGCATCTCATTCTTTTCAATGCACCCAGTTTCTTGGAAAAACTTTTGCATACATTTTGTACTTGAGGCTTCCAATCTAGCCTATTGTCTATTCGCAATCCAAGACAAGTTGTTTCTTGAACAATCTTTATGTGGTCGTCTCCATACAATATGGGTCTCATTGGCCTATGAAGGGAGACCTTATCATGAACATAGCCTCACATTTTCCTGGATGTACTTTCAACTTGTTCCTTATGCACCAACTATGTATCTCATCCATTATTCTGTTTGATGTGCCTACAACACTTTCCAAGTTTTTTCCTGTGTAATTAACGGTTGTATCACCTGCAAAGAGATACATTTCACCTTGCGTAATTGCAGATGGTAAGTCATTGACATGTAAACTATACACGCTACGGCTAACAAAATTTTGTTGTTAGAAAGTTTTAACATTTGATTCAGAATAAAAAGGGGAGTTTTGAGGAAGCCCGCAATTATGTTTAAACCAGCACCACGAGTCAACGACAACTGAAGGAATTTTTTTAGTCCATGTTGGACTCATATTAAACGCGAGAGTTCTAAGAAAGGCCCTAGAAAGTATTTAAACGAAACCCATAAATCCAAGTGAACCAAAATTGTATGTTTATAAAAATTTAACATTTGATTCTAAATAAATAGAAGAAATTCTGGGAGTAATCTCCTGAAAATGTGTCAAAGAGGTAAACGAACTGGTGAAGGCAACCAAAAACATGTTGCTGTCAAGCTTTAAAGCAGGTTTCAGAAAAAAGAACTGAGCTTTCAGATTAGCCTGCAAAAATTTGAAAGAGCCCCACGAGTCGTCGAGGAGTAAATGAAATAATTATATGGAAAATTTAAATACTGAAATTAGAATAAACAAGAGACTAAGGTTGTAAACCTATAAAATATTTAAACGAGGAAGAGGATAAAACCTGGGCTTGCAAATGTTTTGAAGCAACTTTCAATTAACGGAAGACTAGCTCCTCTACGAAGCACGCTACGCGGGCTTGCCAGTGGCCCTACGGTAGGCTACATAGATTAGCCTCGGAAAAGACAAGAATTCTCTTAAAACTCCCAATTAATGATAGTGAAATTAGCCTTGGTAAAGACAAGGATTCTGTCAAAGCCCCCAATGAATTCTAGGAAAATTTGCCCCTGAAAAAAAAGATAAAAATGTCTAGCCTCTCTCTCAAATTGAATGGATACGCCCCATAGGGGTCATGTGATAAAAAGCAGCTTGCTCTGCTAAAAAATTTTGGTAAAAAATTTCACTCGCACTCCTGTAACAATCGCTAGGAAGGGGGGGGGGGGCTCTACCCCCTTTCTATCTCAGGCGTTTTGCGTTTATTATCTTTCGGTTGATTCCATTTTAATCGTTTTATAGGGTAGAAGATAAGCAGAATGAATGCGCACATTGTGATAAAAGCATGAAAATCTGCACAACCACATAGTTTGATATACTGAAACAGATGGGATCGGAACCCAGACTTTGAAATACCTCAAAATGCTAGTTTTAGAATGATTCATTGTTCCCTGACTCCTAAACTGATTATCTCTATAACTTTATCGAAAATGAAATCAAAGACATGAAAATTGGTATTGATACTAATCATAACACGGTTATGTGATTTAGATCACCAACCATCGTCGAAATACCCCAAAATCCTATTTTTAGACCATGTGCTCGTCCCCAGACCTCTAACACGCTTATCTCTACAACTCCGCTAAAAATAAAATCAATAGCAAGCAACTTGATTTAGATACTAATTATAGCACACCAAAAGAATTTAGAGCTTCTTGTTCGGTTAGGTAAAATTATATGACATTATAACATTATATAACACTATGTAATGAACTAAGTGTCACCAAATTATCATTTATGGAAAACTGTATGTTTCGAATGAAAACTGTCCCCTGAAAAGGTAGGGATTTTATACTGAGAGAATGCAAAATTCGTTGCAATTAGGAGGAGAAGTACTGAAATTATTTTCCTAATTATTTTTCCAGACAATATGAAATTATTTGGGTGGCTAGAAAATGCATCCAAAATATTGACAAAATCGAGTCCTACAAAAACAATTTTCCAGGCAATATCTGTAACCTTTATTTTAAAGCAATGGTTTGGGTTGGTTTGATTTTTTTAAATGACGATGATAAAGAAGATGGAGTTGGTATGTTTAGCTCGAGTAAAGGAAAAAGGTTAACAATGTGGTGTGAGGTGGGAAAGGGGCAAGTGATAGGAAGGTAGAGGGAGAAAATCAGAGCAGCTGACTGTAGGAAAATCGAGAGGGATTAATGCTCATTGGCAGTCATTGCCAAAAGTACTTGGAACATCCAAAAATTTGCACAACAATTCTCACCCCGCACACTGTTATTTCCGTGCCCCCTTCCCCCTGAAACAATGTTGGTAATTTAGAAAAATATCATAGAGGTCGAAAGGCGGGTTTACACGATCGTTTTTTCTTAAATTTGTTTCGATATTGGACCGCGATGAATGACAACGATTGTGTAAAAGGCTAAATTGCTGAAAAAAGTTTGATGCTATCTGTCGACCACTAAATTACAAACATTGTTAACATTTTTTATCCGCTTAATTGGCGATAATGATCCATCGTTGAAGATTTTATTTTGACTCCGGGTCAAAATAAAATCTCCACCATCATTTTTTTTCAAAGGGGCCGACAAATTCTGACGTCATGTCAACCTCTGGGAGAGAATTTCGAGACTTTATACTAAGTATTCGCCTTAAGAAATGATTAGATTCATGCTCTGAGAACTAAAATATTTTTAGATACATTATTTTGACTGAGTATGCCCTTGAAAACTTATGTTGGTATATCAAAGGCTTTTGGCCAGCATTGTAGCCTTAAAAATCTGAGGGGACTGGCCGATGTCAAGGTTTCAGCGAAACATGTTTTTAACGGTTTGGTGAAAAAATATCCGATTGATAAATAAAAAAGCTGTAAATATCTACAGGAAATATTGGAGTGAGCCACTAAAGTCGCGAAATTTGTTTTCACACAATTAATTTTATTATTCAACAGGTTTCAAGACATACACCAGACCACCCAACTGCAGCAGTGATGTAGCGTTGAAGTAGAAGAAGGTTTTGTATCCAATGATGATCACGTCACGGAAAATACCGTCGATAAGCTTGTGTCAGACGAAGAGGTCTTGAACTACATTTTCTTTGGAAGTTGAAGCAAAGAAGACAGAGATGATAATGAATGGGCTCCAAATCTCTTCTTATCCAAAACAAATTTTCTTGGTTAAAGCCATTGTTTAAAACCAAAGCGCTAGAAAAGCCGACAGGAAGACATTGACCTAAGAATGTAGGCAGGAAGAAGTTCATCTTGTTGAATCAGTTTTTTGTTGCCAGGAACACATTTTATTATGCGTTTTATCTTGTCTCAATTCTTCATTGCCTGTGAAATTTAATAAGACTTTAAAACTCTATTGAACTGTTTATTAGAACAAGGATGGAATAAAGTTATTACCTGAAGCGGCATCGTGATTGCCGCTGACGGGAATTAGAGTTTTTAACTCTGATGCTCTGATGCTGGAAATTGCAATCTTTCGAGCAAATATTTCTAACACAATCACAAATGTAACCATTAATATCCGCTATTCATCGATTTCCTCGCTTTCGTTGTCTACTGTTTTACCTTACACAACATAATCGCATGAATCTTTTTTATATCTGGAAATAAACTTATAGAGGTTTTTTTAAAGAGATCTCTATGCTTAAAATAAATAGAACGAACTCACCGCTTGAGAATTCAAATAAATAAACAAATCTTTCATTTCTCCATCTCAATTTCATTCCTCGATCCTTACTAACTCAACTATCACACCCCATAACATAAACTAACATAAACTAAAATGTTTCCATGGATATGAGTTAATGTGCAGTGCAACAAAGAGTACCTGAAATGCGTTGAACCAATGGTAATCATGTGTGAACAATAAAAGGACGTAAAATGCATATAAACAGAATTCTAATGAGAACGGTTCACCACAAACTTTATTAAAGAATAGATGACGCTACAATAACGTAGTGCAGGAAGCATGAAAAAGCATTGCAACCCTGCCACTAATACACTAAACATTACTTAACATCTTTCAATTTTGGCAATAGGTACAAATTCCCGAGATCGGGGCTCTCCCGGTTTTCAATTTCATATAATTTATGATATAATATATGATACTGTCAACAATCTTTTGGTGGTACAAAACTTGTAAATGGCTTTGAAAAAAGCAATGGCGACATGTTTCGGATTATTGGTAAAGCCCGATCGTCGTTCCACCTAGCAGTTTTAGAATCTATCTACATAAGCACGAAAAAACCGCTACTGTGTAGACAAAAGGAGTTCGTTTTCACCTTAGGACTCCATTGGTAACATTCTAATAGGCAAGCGGCACTGATTGGTCAACCTTTACAGTCATGTGCTCGTGTTTCTGGATGGCCTATTTCGATCCACAACTGGGTATATATATTTCTTAGCGTAGAGTTTTCGATCTATGTTCTGACGTTTTAAACTCTGAAGAGTGTCAGACGAAAAGCTTTAGTTTACTAAATGTTTGCTTTTTTCAAAGCCATTTATATGATACTGTCGTCAAAAATCCTGTATACCGTATTTTTAAATCCGAAGTAAAATCCAGAAATCCTTAAGAAATATCTCAATATTGCAAACACCTCTGGCAATCTTCATGATATCTTAAAACTACTGAAAATTCTAAACTTTCCTTTAAGTTCTGTTATTTTGTAACTGTTTTGAAGGTGGTTTGGAAATCAGCTAAATAGTGGTACAACTTCAGTAAAGCTGGATAAACACAGTTAAGAGGAGCAGGGTGCAAATTTCAGAAACGTTACGAATAAAGGGTTTACGTTGCATAACCTTTCGTTGATTGCTATGACTCAGGCGTTTATGTGTCGGAGTTTGTTAAAGGCACAGCTATAGTATTTGTCTATCCCGGGAATCCGAGAAAGCATAAAGAAAATGCCATCAAACTATTTATTACAAATGTTCATGGTTGTTTGTGTTCTACTGTGATATTTTCAATATTTTTTAGATAATTTCTAACTATTTCGTCATTTACAATTATTTGGAATTCTTCGCATAACTGTGGAAGAATTAATCCCACTTTTCTACCCAAGTCCTGGTTCAGGCATTAAGATTTATTAAAGAGGTTAGGGCCAATTGCCAAAGGTAAAATAGATTACGTAAAGATCCATTGGTTACAGCCAAACACAAGATAAGCCAACAGGAAGACTTCGCGATTGGAACGCAGACAGGAAGACTTTCAAGACTTTCAGTGCCATTCATAGAGGTAACTTGATGACCTTGTGTCTTTTCCCTCTATGAATAGCACCATATGAAGAAGTTGTCGCCTAGCCTTAATGTTTTAATTGCTTAAATAAAAAGAAGACTTTCAGCTAGGAATGTTGGCAGGAAGGAGTAAACCTTTTTTTCTATTCAATATAAAACCTACGTTAACAAATTTTTTAAAATACTACCTAAGAACTACTAAACTACATTACAACATTTTTATTGACGGAACCCAGTAAGAGCAGTGTATCATGACTGTTACCACCCTGCTCTTGTAGTTTCATACTTATATGACTAACTATGACTAAAATCACAAGTATATGTTTTTAAGTTTTTACCAAATGAAATTGCGAACAATATCTGATTTGATAATTTTGTTTGTCGATCAGCATAAATGATACAGCAACGTCAAAAGGACGAAATTGATAACAGCAGTTGTTTCTCTTGACATTAATAAACTTTCCGTAAAATCAACTTCGTAAAACGACACAATTTCCAGCGACTACTTAACTAAACGGCAACGTTACTCGACTGGACGACATACAATGATAGAACATACGCTTTTAACGACATAACGCACTGTTACAAATTAAGGCAACTTGACTAATAACAACTAAAAGAGACATGACACGATGAAAAAAAGCTATGCCGACACAAACACAAAAAAGTATCCACATTAACGGCGACGACCACAAATACGATACACGATGGACAAAACAAGTTATATAACATGTTTCATCGCACCTAAAATAAACATTAATCCCGGTCATCTAAATTTAACGTTTCTTTCAGTCATAAAACATACACATTACGGCCTGTATCACAGAATATGAATAACCAGAAGGGTCACTCAACAATAGCGAAGCTAGCAGTCATGCTGGTCATGGTGAGCATGACTAAAAATTTTCAGAGCTAAAGACATTTATTATAACGATTAAAACTTTCCTTTATTGAAAAAGTTCTTTCAATTTGAAAGTTTCGAAACCTCTTTCGTCCAGTTTATTCTTATTATTCTACTGCCCTTTCCCACCTTGGTCCCTTGTGGTTGGTTAGTCATGCTCATTCTGAAGGGCACGACCTGCCATAGGGTTTCTTTACGCAGAGAGCCCAACCGCTCCTGTGAGTCAGCTGAGTTTCAATGACTTTTCAGTTGGTATCCCTGTGGTATGTCATGCTCATTTGGAATAGCATGACCTCTTCATTATAATCATAAACCTAGGACTGATTTGATTGGCTGATTTGTAAACCAAAATTGAAAACCAAAGGCCGACCCTTATCGATGAAGAATCCTACCATTACGTTGCTGATCATACCATAACTTGTTGCTGATGGACGAACTTGTACCCTGAAATTTTCCCGAGTGAATCATGGAATTGTTCTCTTGAAAATTTCCTGTTTTGTCAAAATCACACAATAACCTGTGGCTGATGGATGGAATTTTACAATCAAAATTGCTTGTCCATTCTGGTTTATTCAATATTGCAACCTTGCTTGTTGCTGAGAGGGACGAACTTGTAATTTGAAAACTTGCCTGTTTATCGAACATTTCACCAAAACCAGTTGTTGATAGAAAGAATTGTGTTCTTGAAAATTTCTTGTTTAGGCAATATTACACCATAACTTGTTACTGATAAATGAAATGGTACCCTGAAATTTGCCTGCATTCAATATTACACCAACTCTTTTTTTTGATAAATGAAATTGTACCCGTATATTTCCTTGTTTACGCAATATTACTCTATAACTTTTGTTAATACATGTAATTGTACCCTGTAATTTGCCTGTTATTCAATATTACACCATGACTTGTTGCTGATAATGAAATTGTACTCTGGAATTTGCCTGTTAGTGGATATTTGACCATAATTTGCTGATTGATAGAATTTAGAAATGATTTTTAATTACACTATATATGTAGCTTCCACACAGCCAGCCTTCTCAGTGCAGTTCGATTTCCCCAGGCTTTCTGTTGTCAGGAGAACTATGGGGTTTCCTAAACATGTTAAAGAAAACCAAAGTTAAAGGAAAGCCTTAGTCGAACGAAATAATGTAGAGAGATATCTATTATGTGAAGATAGACAAGACAGCACTTTTAGTTTTCTAGTTTCACGCCGCATTGCATTGTATTTGCGGGGCCAATGAAGGCGGCGGAGGGGGGCTAGACTCCTTTTTCCGGAAAAGTTCCGGATTATATCGGAATTGCAAAATTGATGGGAGAATTGATGGTCCAGGAACGCCCGAAAAAGAACTTTTTACGGATTCCCGATTCTTACGATTTTCCGACAAGATAACATCTCATGTCTAATTTTAAAGAAACTGCACATTTTGATAAAAATTTGTGATTTTTTGACGGGACCCTTTAGAAATCTTTGCTAACCACACCATAATAAAGTAGCAAGAAGATCCATTTATGATTTTTGATATCAAGATCGATATCTCATCTAAGACAATTGAAAAATTGATGATACAAGAGGTCGACCGATTGTACTTTTGACAAGTCGTTCATAATAACAACATGATTGTAAATGAAAATACTGCAGCTGTTTTACATCCTTTTAAATTTGTCAACAAAGAAGGCAAGAAATGCTATACTTGCAGAGGGGACTACCCTCACAAAGGGGAATGCCTGCAAAAGGAAAGCAATGCAGAAGCTGTGGTGAACAAGGTCATTTTGCGGTCGTTTGTAGAAGTAAAGGAGACAAAACAGATCGCAGAAACAAAGGAGGCAGATCATATCGAAAGGGCTTAGGGTAAATTTATATGATGAACTGATGACGGGACAAACCTATTATTTTGAATTGGTTCATCTCTTGGCTCATCGTATAAAACAGACTGAATTAATAAGCACGTGCCCACGATGAGCCCATCATGGGCTCGTCGGTTTCAGATGAACCAATTTGAATAAGTTCATCTTTGGCTCGTTGTCATTTTACACGATGGGACGATCGATTGATGAACCAATTCAAAACTGGCGCCGGTCCGCAAATTTGTCTTTGAATACGTAAATGAGCATGCGCAGTACAGTGCAGCATAATTTCGCACAGCCAAACAAAATGGCTGCGTTCAGGAAACTTGTTACGTCAATCTCTTCGGAATGTGGCAATAATGTCGATTCAGCCGAAGAAACTTTGGTTTGGAGTAGCGACGAAGGTAATGCTCAGTCAAGTGTTGCTGACAATCCTGCAGAAAGCTACGAGGAAAGCGAAAAAGAAAGTGACTCTGAAAGTGGCGTTGGGGCGCCTAGAAAAAGGCGCCGACTAGGCCTAAAAACAGTTGTTTCATGCAGTGAAGAAGATCTCGAGAAAGATTCAAACAAACCAGTTTCAAGAAAACAACAAGAAACGCTACAGCAAACAACTCTCCCAGTGAAAAAGGCTAAGGGCAAATCAGGACCTAAGGCTATTTGGTCTACAGAGCTATTGAATGATTTGGTGGACATTGTTGCAAACAATGACAGCTACAAAAGGAAACTGATATTTACCAATATGCCCAAAGCCAGCAATGCTGAGGTTTACCGTAATATTGTCAAAGATATGAATAGCAGATGTCAAGAGCGAGGGAAAACATTCACACTGAGTCTTTGTCAAACACGAAACAAATTCAAAAAACTTATGAGCATTTGCAAGTCTGCACTTTTGACAATGAAGACTGCTTCTGGAATTAAACGTTTTCAGGATGACAAGCAATTTGGCTCATGGTTTCATGTCCTTACCCAAATTATGAAATCAAGACCGTCATGCCAGCCAGATCAAGGTATAGAGCCAGGCTCCTATTCAACAAATCTTTCTGACCAAACAGGATTAGCTTATGATGATATTATAAATACAGCTTCACCATCTCCATCTACCTCGTCAGATGGTAGCAACAGCCTTGATTCCTCTACCCCCAAGCCAGGCAAGATTTATGTACCAATAAAATCAAAGAAAGTATCTAAAAAATCTGCTAGCAATGAAGGAGTTATTAATGAGATACTAACACAAATAAAGACTGTTATAGACTATAAGCAGAATTCAATTGCCGAGCTAACAAGTTTTTTCAAAGAAGAAAATGAACGCGCAAGACAACATGAGCTGGAGCTATTTAAAGTGATGTTTCAGCAAGCTCCTGCCAATAATTATCAAAACCATTCAGCAATGCCAAGCACACAAGATTTAGAGCCAGAATTTCAAAGAATGCAGAATCTGCATTCAAATACAAACATGGGAAATCACCATCAAGCCTTTGTCACAAGTTTACCAAATCAATCATTGTTTACACCTTGGCTTGCACCAGCTGGATCTGAAAACAACTTTTCCCAAGATAGAGACAGTAATAGAAGTTTCTTACAGTTGTGACCTATAGCTTATGATGTTCATTAACTGACAAATAAAAAAAGTTACGTGCCTTTTACTGGTAAACTGATATTATATTCTGTTATGTTTGATAGGAGAGGATAGGGCTTGGTGTCACATGGACAGGTTAGCATAAACTGGATTTGAACCAGATCTGGTTTTGGTTTTGATCACCTTGAGAACCAACTTTTCTAATATTTACTTAATTTGTATATGTCATATTTTCATGTTTTTTTTAACATTGCAGTTTCATTTGACAGCCATATTTTGAAACGCCTATGAACTTAATTGCCGATTTGACAGTTTGAATGTTATTTTGTTGAAACTGCTGTTTCAAATTTCTCCAAATCATTTTGAGTAAACTTATGTATGCGACCATGCTGGCATAGGATATCTTTTATATATAGATATATATATATATATATATATACAGATAATAATAGATATATAGGCCGAAATGGCCCTTAATTTACTACAACAAAACAAAACGTCAAAATTTTTAATGGTCAATTAGAATTGCTACATCTAAAGTATTACTACAAATGGCTACAAAAATTATAACAGCTTAAATATACAATATGCCCTACTCACCCCTACTTATATTCCTGTTCAAATTCTAATTAGTGATGTCTATTTTTTCACGCCAAAATTTATCCTTTAATGTTTCCCTTATCTTGGTCGCATTCCTGTTATTATCTGTAACAGTCCTGCAATTTCTCATCAACAAAAGTTTACGAACTTCTGATTGATCCCTTCTTTTGTTGGAGGATGGATCCTTGGTGAGATCCCACTGCCTTGGTGCAACATCTTGACAGCGAATACATAAATTATGCAAGACAACACATGCCAAAGTAAAAACTTTAACATTCTCTGGCCTGCTTTCGCATTTTCTAAGGAGAATCCGCCATCTTCCCTTTAACTGCCCAAATGCACCCTCAGTGACCATGCGAGCACCGCTAAGGCGGTAGTTGAAGTACCTTTGCTGCGGTGTTAAATATGCATTGCTGTATGGCTTCATTAGCCAAGTATGGAAGGGGAATGCACCATCACCAAGAAGTAATGGTGCAATCTCTGATCCATCTACATTCTGCGCGATGTGTGGTATGATTTGGCTTGATGCCAGTGAACTGTACAATTTGGTTGACTTTAGGATCACTGCATCATGGGAATTTCCAGGGAACCCTGCACTCACCCAAATAAATCGATATTTTGAATCGACAAGGGCCATAATTACTGTTGAATAAAAATTTTTAAAGTTGTGAAATTCTTTGCAGGCTTCAGCACCTCCATGTGGGCACTTGATGGGTATATGAGACCCATCAAAAGCACCAAAGCAATAAGGAAACTGCCATTCACTTTCCATTTCTTCCATACAATTTCTAAAATCTTGAGTTGTGCGTGGGAAAAGGCATGTAACAGTCTCATCCCAGAGGTTGTTCACAATAGCTGCTGAAACTTCGTTGACAATCTGACAAACTGTTGCCACAGCAAAACCAGTCAGCTCTGATATGGTGTAGAGGTAGTCACCCCTTCCTAACCTATACAAACACACAGCAAGGTGTATCTCTGCAGGTATAGGTTTTTCAGTCAATGATTTCTTTTCGATGTCATGCTTAACTCGTTCAAGAATGAATGAGAATGTTTCTCTCGATACCCTAAAGGTTTTCTTAAATCTTGCATTTGAATAATGGTCCTTTACATTATTCCACCAGCCAGTATTCCTAGGTAGGCGTCTGCACGTGCGTTGCCTTCTTCTTGCCTCTCTTCTAGGTTGCACAACGACTTTGTCATATAGCAGCAATAAAAGTATAAGCAAAAAAGCTTTTAACACTATTCTTCTTCGAAGAAAAGAGATTATAATTGATTGTTGAAGTGCTCTTCTCCTTGAACGTTCACGCAAAAGTCGACCAAAAACGGCCAATCTTTTTTTGTTTTCAGCATTGACCAGCGCCATTTTGAAATACTGTAGGCCTAGTCCAACTGAAAAGGACGCATACGCGAAATGGTAGTATTGGGCAATTGGTTCATCTTGAGTCTATCGCATAAAACCAAACATAAATTTTGACGCGCCAACGATGATCCAATTCAATAATAGGTTCGTCCCATCATCAGTTCATCATATAAATTTACCCTTAATGTATTCTGCGAGAAATTTTCACATCATGCGCAAATGCGAAGTTTCGCAAAATACAAGTTTCGAGGTGGTATTTTGTGAAATGCGGAAACTGATTTAAAAAACTTTGGTGGCCCTGATCAACGACCGAAAACATGCAATTCACATTCATGCAAATAGCCTAGTTCATGTCCCATTTAACGTTAGATAACTCATTGGCACCTTCTGGAAAATGGCCCAAATACCAACCACACCAAAGTCGTGAACGGCCTGTTTATGAGTTGCCCATTCCAGCTAACCTTTTCAGGTCTTCAAACAAAAACGCACCAGATTGCATCGCACCCACGATCTCTGGCAACACCAACGCCATCTTTAGGTGTCGTTTGAGTAAAGGCCTCGTTTGCATGTTGCGGGCTCACAATTTGCGGACCATGCCGATTGGGACAAAATTCAGTTTGAAAATCTCATCAAGCGATCAGCGAAAATCTCATCAAGAAGTTGCGCAAATATTCTGGTAAAGATACTAAAAATGTCATGAAGAAATGAATATATGCTCTCTTGTGAAGATTTTTTGTTGTAAAGAGAGATATATTCTAATCTTGATTATATATCCAACTCTTGATGATATTTTAGGGTCTTCACAAGATTCTGTCCCGTCTTGAAATTTTGGCCCATTTGGCACCCCATAGGAATGGCTGGTGTTCATAATATAGCCGATGACATTCTAGTTTTCGGAAGTACATGTCAAGAGCATGATCAGGCTCTTGAGAATTGCCTTAAACGCCTTAAAGAGAAAGGTCTTGACAGTGTGACCAGATCTCAATTTTGGAATAATGCCAAATTTGTCATAAAATAATGCTAGGTTTGCAAAAGTTATGCTAAATTTCAAACCAAGGCATCCCTGCTTGTAAAAGAGGCTAGAGGATGCTCAAAATATCAAAAGTGACCAAAGTTTCCATTTGGCCTTTTTGACCCCCAATCTAAAACACAGTGTACTCGAAATCGCCATCTTTTCTACACAAAAAGGCAATTTAGATCAATGGTTTTGACATCCAAATTTCTTAACCCCTTGGCCGTCATAAATTGATTTGGCCGAAGAAACAAAAGTTGGCAGAATTCTGGCAACATGTTGCAAAAAATCACAAAAAATACAAAGTAAAATAATTTTTTTACATAGATGATATTCAAATTTGTTTTAGAATGATTTCAAAATTGCAAATGAAAAAACATGAAACAACAAAAAAGATAACAGACAATGTAAGATAAAAGTAAATGAAAGCTTTGTAACCTACAAAGTAAATTTTGATTACACTATCACTCCCCGCAATTGACAAAAATTTAGCTTTTTTGTGTACTAAATTTAGCTGGCTGAATTTGGCTGCCAACCATAAAATATTTGGCTGCCAGTCACGAATTTGCCGACAAGATAGGGCATGGCCTAAGATATTTCAATGTGGGGGTGTGGCATTTTGACGCAATTGATTTTGTTTGTCAAAGAGGATGTCCTCGTTAGTCAATCATTGCTTCAATTTTTGAGTGACTGTGGGTACTTAGGTTTCGAAGACCTTGAAACAAATTCGAAATACGAGGTCCCCCTGCAAGCGGAGCGAGCAGGAAATTTTTACGACCAGGCCTTTTAGATTGTCTTAACATGCATTTCAGAATATTTCTTGCAGTTATTTCTTGCAATCGTTAAGAACTTTTAACTATTTTTACCCCCTGCACCCTGCCGCTAGCGACGGCCCTGTTTCTAATGTCTTAGAAGATCAAAATTTTGTCGAGCGATGAATACGCAGAAATAAAAAGATGTCAGGGGAAAATTGCATGGATGAATTAGAAGGAAATAGGGAATCCGTATATCATCGTGATAGTAGATACAGCTATCAGCTCAATTAATACAAGATTCACATCTCATAAGGCAATTTTGACAGATTTTGCCTTACTCAACCCTGAATGTTTTCAAAAAACAATTGAAAGGCAGTTGTATGCAGTGTCATTCAAAAAGGTTGCGAAGAATTACGGCCTGGATGACGAAAAATTAAAATATGAGTACAGCTCTTTCGTCCATAATTACCATAAATATAGGAAAATTAGAGAGAAGAGCAGCCCTCAGTCGGCTGCAGGAGAAAGTCTTGATTTAAGCCCCGGCCAAACCACTCGATTTTTCACTCGATTTTTTACTCGACAAGAAATCGAGTAAAAAGTAGAGTCATTTGGCCACCTTATCGAGAAAGTCGATTGTCGTCGAGTGATGTCGAGAGAACTTTGATCTCTATCAAAAAGTCGAGTGAAAAAGTTGTTGTCGAATGAAAATCGAATCGTTTGGCCACCTTGTCGAGTGAGTCGAGTGAGCGCGTGCGCAGTTATCATCTCTTATGCTGGGCACGGAAGCATACTACCCTGGGGCCTCGAGGTCCAGGGGACTTTTTTATGTGATGAATTTCATTTTAAGAATGGAATTAATAAAAAAACAAAATTTTGCCTGAAAATAGTAATTTATTTAAACGAAATAAGTATTTAATGGCAGTTCCTGCATGAAACGGACGAACAGGGTCTTATGTCGCTCGAGTTCATCAAGAGATAGTAAAATAATATTTGCACGCAAGATAAACACGGCAGCCGATTTGCGTTTCTTTGCCTTCATTTTGTTGGCGTGAGTGAAAAGTCGAATGAAAAATCGAGCGAAGGAAAGAATCATTTGGCTACCCATACTCGACTTCGCTCGATTTTGAGGTCAAATGTCGCGAGAAAAATCCAGCGAAAAATCGAATCGTTTGGCCTAGGCTCTGAATAGAGAAAACTTCCATTCAGTTCTTCAGTTGATGATAAGTACAACCTGCAAAGTGCCTTTCCACAGCTGGTTCTTCTTTACAAGATTCTCGTCACTTTGCCAATAGGTTCAACAAACTATGAAAGAGCTTTTTCAAAGCTGAGGATTGTAAAAAATCAGCTACGGTCAACAATGGGACAAGACCGCCTTTCCTCTCTAATAACAATCAACGTCGAAAGTGATATTTTACATTCGATAGACTATGGTGACATCATCGATTTGTATGCTGCCACACCTCTTTTGAGAAAGATGCTGCTTGAGTAACAGTTTATATAAATATCATTTAAAGGAAAACTATTCTTTTGGACGCGTTATATCTATTTAAGGTTTAGCATAAATAAGTGCAAAGTAATAATGATGCGATTTAAAACTTGCGAAAAAAAACTTTTTGCTAGAATCAGCTATAAACACTAACGTGACAGTTTATTGTCTAATATAGCGAGAAGAATTGTAGGGTGTAAATTTATAACTAGTTGCAGTTTTGTTCATAGCGATTTATATTTGGTAAGTTTTGTTAGAATAAAGGCTATAACATATTTTTATAACTCATATCTATGAAGATATAAGAAAAACGATACCAAGAAAGCTCACTCAGTCCTGGAAAGAGTGACCTTCTATGCGACAAGCTCTTCTTCTGTTCCAATTACTTATAGTCCTCGGAATCGAAGAAAATCCTTCAACTCTTTAAGGCCTAAATGACTAACTCTTTTCTTTTCCTCAAAGTGATATCGAAAGGAACAAAATAACTTGAAGATTTTGATTCCGATAATAATGTTCCTTTGTGAACTGTGATTCGATAAATGGAACAACTCTGCCTTTTCATAAAACACAAACCGCGATACAACACGTGCAGATACACATGATATTCCAAACGATGTAAAAACCCAATCTTTAGTGATTTCAAGATTTCTTGTTAGTACTAAGTCCAAACAAGCAGGCTCTTCTTAGGTAAAAGTGTGTCTTGTGTGTCCTACATTTTTCCGGAAAAAGAGTCAACTTCTATTCACTATGTCCGGCTGAAAAGGGGCCAAATGACAAATAGTGCTGCTGGTAGAAGTAATCACATGCATTCATGATGCATAAGGTAACATTTATAACAACGACACCAGAAAAGCGATTGAGAACATATTAATGATAAAAATCATTTTTACTGTTAGTTTAACAATCGTGCGAACACTAATTTACGCTTACATGAAGCAATTTGGAGATTGCATTATGGAAGTTATTGACTGCATGCGTTCTAGGTGCACTGATTTTCGAAATACCAATCCTTTATAAGAAATTTGAATTGATTTGCATTTTTTGATGATTTTATTTCATGTGGAGGAGACTTCCAAATTTTTGGACACAAAAAGCTAATAGATTTTAAAGCCATACATGTAGTTTTAACCTTGAGAACAGATAGATTATCAATTATTTGAGGATTATACCATCACATTTTGGGACAAAATAGCCTTCCTCCAAAGCACAGAGTTGCACAAAGTTTATAAAACTTTTAAAGTGTTAACAGCCTAATAGAGTCTATTAGCATAAACTACTCGAGAGAGTGCATTTTCCAGCGAACTGGATGCATTAAAATTCGGAAATTGTCCTTTCTTTCGGCGGCAACCATAAGGCCGCCTCTGATGGTAGCCGATATCATGACCTAAAGGAGTTTCAGATAATATTTCTAACCAGATAATTGCGTAGTCCATACCCCACCCCCAGAAAAGGCCTTGTCCTGTTTATGCAAGACGTAAACTTTGCCACCAAGTGGAAATTCCTTAAAAAGGCTAAGCCTAGTTCTAAAAGAATGTAACTTAGAAAGAAGTGCTTGATTGGGCAAAGAATCAAATGATTTTGCAATGTCAAAGTGAATTGCATGGAAGGTATTACCTTCATCGAGCAGGGAAGTTGGTGTTACCTTCATCGAGCAGGGGAGGTAGCCTTTCTTCTAAGACTACCTATAGCTGTGCTATACAGGAACTTTTTGATTTGAAACAATTTTGATCATTCAAAAAAGCTCATTTGCATATGATATTTCACAATTTCATTTTTGATAATACGCTCTTATAGTCGACAAAAAATGCTTGAAAGGCAGATATGTATATATAAATATATTGGACAGGTGTTTTGCATTGCCATCAGATAAGTGGTCATTTTCTTCATAGGAAATATCACAGTTAGTGTCTTAGAGAAGGGTTAAAAAGTTTCTTTCATTAGCTAAGTAGATTACTTTCTCAATTTTGTCCAAAAATTCAACTGTATCACTTTGAACCCTGTACAATGAGAGCATTAAAAAAGATTGCTTTTAGAGGCTCTATTTCGATACAAATTGTTTCCAGCTCATTAGTTTTCTAGCATAATTTATATGCTTATTTCTTATACTATTTTTAATACAAATGGCAAACCCACCATCATATTTGGATCTTTCAATTGTTACCTACTCGTAACCAGATATACAGGTAAGGTCTTTTGGATACAGAGGAACGATTTTAACCCCATTTAAGGCCAAGTTACGAATTAAGGCCAAGAGTTTCATTGAACTTTTTTTAACCGAAGACTTCCGTTCAAAAATATCTTCAGCATTTTTGCAAAGATAAGTCTTCTTCACTGGAGAGATGGTACATTTTTTGTTATACTGCACTCCTATTGGATGGTAGGCATGATGTGTATTTAGAGTTTTTTAGCACGTTGCAATAGAGCGAATGATTTCATGTTTTATCCTTGCACAGACCCTTTAGATTGACATTTCCCAGAGTACCTTCGTTCTCGGCTTTTGAGTGGCTTCTCCCGTATTTTGAGCTCGTTTTCTGTAAATTGACTATTCATTTACCTGAGGGTTTGTCTTTATGAAATGATGCAACAAGAATTAAATTAATATTGCTGCCTTGACCAGGCTGCCAGATTTGGTTCTAAGTTGTCCCAGATGTTGTTTCTTGACTCAGCTCCAAGCTGTTGGCATCTGTCGAGATATGTTTCACTGGATCTGTGATTATCTTGATGAAAAGAAGCAATATGCAGAAGTGAATAGGAAGTTCTCATCTGTAGATGGAATTGACTTTGGAGTTCCACAAGGATCTCTACTTTGCCCGCGTCTATTCTTGATTTTTGTCAATGATCTCCCAGATGCCGTATCGGCATAAGACCTCTTTATGTATGCTGATGACACCACCATTTATTGAGTTTCCAAAACGATCGAGGATGTAATTGTGAATTTAAATGTTGCAGCAAATGAGCTACGTGCATGGTGTACAAAGAACCATCTTACTGTACACACAGGAAAAACAGAAGCTATGATCTTATCGAATGCCAATTTAGTAGGGCCACTACAGTCTGTTATGTTTGGGAAAGATATAATAAAATATGTTACAGAGAGCATTTCCCTGGGCGCCAAAATGGATAACAAACTAAACTGGAAAAATAATCTTACGAAAGTTATAAATAGTCTTAATACAAATTTGCAGAGATGAGAAGACGAAAGTACTTACCTATAAAGATTTAAGAGGCCACATATTTCAAATCTTAGGTTAGTTCTATGACATACTGTATTTCTGTTTGGGGCGTAATCTACATAGCAGAGCTACAAGACTTATACACAAGATCAAAGATAGAACCCTTAAAAACGAAGAGATAATGAAAAAAAACAATTGGCAGCCAATAAGTTATATTTATAAGAAAAGGCTGTTAACTTACATGCACACAATCTATCTTGGAATCAATTGCAATTTGACATAAAGCAAATTAAAAAAGACACTGGCAGTAAGGGGATGCCTTAGATATAGTGGATGTCTTCTGTGGAAAGCAATTGACAGCAGTTTAAAAGGGAACACACAAGAATTCAAGAGCAACATCAAATTTCATATAGATTTTATGAAAATTGTTTCTTTTCAATCTGAAACTTGTATTTTAAAACGTAGGCTTGAGGACTTTTATTACTGAAAGTTTTTAACATCCTGTGTATTTCTAAGGTAAACTTTTCATTTATTAGTGGTATTTTCGCAGGTCCACACATCAGCATAAGCTGCCCTTTTGTACAGTAACGAGGCTGCTCACTGAAAGTTATTCAACGTGTATCTGAGGTTGGTCAATTTCTGCTTGTAAAAAATAATGGCGACTCTTCTACAGCGACATCGTGTGTTGCTTCGCGCCAGTCATCTTTCACCCGCTATTTCTGCCTATTTTAACCGATTCTCCAGCCTTGTAATACGTAAAGATGGAGATCATAGTCACACGTCACAACCGCTACGGAAGGTAGGTAGCACCAAATTTTTGGGGAGGAGATACTTTTATATGGTGTTAAAATATCATATTAGTCTGTTTTTATTTATTCAAACCTTATCCGCACTCATTAACATAATTTTTAATTTTTTTTTAGTTTGGTTGTGGAATACAGTGTTTCTCGAGTCATACACAGGGAGCTATGGCATTAAGTGAAATAAAGGTAATACCAATTACTGCATTTAATCAGTTGAGCCCATCCTAAGATGAGCCCTGGACACAAAACAACTTGCCGGATTTTTCTAAAACTCAAACTCAAAATATTTTTTTCAACATAAAATAGATTAATTACAATATACCGTTTAACATAATTATACTAAATATAAAATATCCAAGTTAATATGGCTAAATAACAATGAATGGTCAATCGCAATATTTTATAGAGAGCAATGAGAATTAAACAATTTGAGGCTGATGGACACATGGAAAGAACTTTGGTCTAGCTATCGAGCCATGTATCCAAATTGACGTGTTTATAATGACGATTTTAAGTTTGAATAATACGAGGGTCACTCCAAAATTATTGAGATATTCAGTAACCGCTTGAGATACCAGTTTGAAATTTTTTTGGTGGCTTCTACCATCTATTTCACCCATGTTTTGTAATTTTTGTTAATTTCAAGCGCGAGAAAAAAATAGAAAAGGGTTTTGAATTTCAACACCATAGATGTTCTTATTTGTTAAAAATGAAGCTTGAAAGACGTGATTTTCGCGCAATGATTTATTATGATTTTAAAAGGGGGCTGAAACAAGAAGAATGCCTAGCTCAGCTTCTGCAGACATTTGGAGATAATGCACCTTCAAGGGCAACAGTTTTTCGATGGTTTGCCGAATTTAAGAGAAGGAGGGAGAGCCTTAAAGATGAGACCCACCCAGGGAGGCCCCCAACTGCTGTTGTGCCAGAAACAGTTGCCGCTGTGGAGAAGATGCTAAGGCAAGATGGTCGGATGACTTATTCTATGTTGCAGGATAGCGTAAAGATTGGATCACGGCATTGCACACAATTTTGCATGAAAACTTGCAAGTTCGGAAAGTGGCTGCCCACTGGGTGCCACATTGCTTGTCAGATGAGCAAAAAGAGCAGCAAGTCAATTGGTGCCAGTTTATGCTGCAAAAATTTAATGAAGGGAAGTCGAAACGGGTTTATGACATTGTGACAGGCGATGAAAGTTGGGTTTACCAATTTGACCCGGAGACAAAGCGCCAATCCTCAATTTGGATCTTTCCAGGTGAAAACCCGCCGCAAAAATTTCGGCGATCCAGAAGCATCGGCAAAAGGATGGTTGCATCATTTTTCTCAAAGATGGGTCATGTCGCAACCATTCAAGTTGAAGACTGTCGTACAGTGAACGCGGATTGGTATGTTAACCACTGTATACCACAGGTTCTAGAAGTTTGGCAAAATAAACGTCCAAGGACCGGCTTAAGAGGTCTACTTTGGCACCATGACAACGCTTCCGCTCACATAGCTGCTTTGACCATCGACTTTCTGTCTGAAAATTCAGTTCAGTTGATGACCCACCCGCCTTATTCACCTGATTTGGCACCTTGTGACTTCTTTCTCTTTCCAGCGGTGAAAGAAAAAATTCGCGGAACCAAGTTTGATAGCGCTGATGATGCAGTTAGTGCCTTCAACAAGGCTGTTTCTGACCTGGCCGCGGAACAATGGGCCCATTGTTTTGATATGTGGTTTTATCGTATGAGACTTTGTGTGGAAGCCAGTGGAGAGTATTTTGAGAAACTGTGAAAATTTGAACACGATGCCTCTTGCGGTTTTTGAATATCTCAATAATTTTGGAGTGACCCTCGTAACAGTAAGATATAACAAGAATAAAATAAAGTAGAACGAAATAAAAATAAGACTATGTGTAATATTGTAATAACAGCTAAGTGCAATTATAAAAAAATCATAAAGTAATCAAGCCTACAGATGTCTTCTACTTGTTAGAAGAAGGAAATACACAAAAGTCATGGAGTGCAGTTGTCCTATTGATATGCAGATATGGAAACAGTGCTAAAAATGGCGGCTCACATAAGCCAAAGGCCTAAGCTGACAGGTTTTTAAAACTGAAGTTCAGCGTTAAGGGTACGCAACAAAATTTTTTTGCGTAATTCCAATGGCTTTTGAATCAAAATAAATTTGAAAGATTACCTTACTGTTTTGCGGGTGAAAATTCTGGGAAAACATTGGACTGGTGCTTCAGAAAATTTCTGGAAAATATAAAAAGTTGCCTCAAAGTACAGACAAAACTTAATAAGCATAAGATAATTTAATTAAACTTAAAACTTAATACAAGCACCTTTGTTCTGACTTTCAGTATATTTTGGCCGAAATATCAGCCTTTGGTTATCAAAAGTGATATCAGGTGAACAATCTCTGTCATTTAGTGATCAAAATAGTCTTCTTGCTAAATAACATAGACGCTTTGGGTGTAGATGATTCTTTTCATTAATTTCAAAAGGATAATTTAAACGTTATACGTTTTGCTTTAATTTTTTGATTGTCATGTGCTTAGATAATGAGTAAATCAGAATTTAAGATAAACAAGTCATAAACATCAAATATAGAGCAACTCACCTTGTGTCAGTATTGAAAATTTAAATTTAAAGTGCACTGCTAGTGTCACTTTCTCAGTTATATTTTTTTCACGAAAAAGAAGCTTTAAGCAGTTTGCTTCAAATTTCAACATTTTTCGTTCATGTTTCTTCAAGAAAGTGACACTTCGTGGTCATCTTTCATGAACACTCAGAGAATCTTTACAGAATTGTTTTGAAGCAATGCTTCAAAGTTTTGCTGAATCCATCCCCTTGAAACAGCAAACCAATCATTAAATTTTCTTTAAACCGAAAATCGAAGGAATGGCGAATGCATATTCCCGCCATAAGCTATAATTTTGAAGGCCCTTCGCCTCATAATTCTGATTTGAAATTGGTTGGCTTAGGCCCATGGTTATTGTGAGCCTCCATTTTGACCTACCGTTTTCATACTTTTGCAACCCCAGCGTATTGAATATCACCTCTTACTTTGATACATTAGACTGCAAATGCTGATTTGAAACTTGGAAAAACCATAAAATGTCTATTTCCTTGATGCCTTTGAAAAAGGAACTACTTCTTTATGCTATTTAGAAGTAGAGAGAGCGAAGAGGAAGTTCTAAACTCTTTTGGATCATTTATTTTTTCTGAAATTTTATGGTAATAGTGAGAAATGTTAAGTTTGTATGCAATTTATGTTTACCAAAACATCAACCTGCTTGGAAACTTTAGCAATTTAATTGGCATAAAAACAATACTCTGCAAAGTATTAGGATATGTCTTGGCAGTATAATTAAAGTTTTTTACAGCTAGTATTTGCAAGTGTTTAATCTTTTCTGTTAAAAGATCCTCTGAAGTAAACAAATATCTAATTTCCAAATTTGGTTGATTTGTGATATTATTTTGTGTTGTAGCTTCCTTTTGTGATTAACTAAAACTCTGCTCATTCTACAGCATGCAGATTTACAAATTGTCAACACAACAGCACCAAAAATGAAACCAGATGATGATGCATTAGTGTTTGGTCAAAGCATTTCTGATCACATGTTGATTTTAGAATGGGATATTGATGAAGGCTGGAAAAAACCAGTGATCAAGCCTCATGAAAATCTACTGCTGGATCCATCTGCATCTGTCTTTCATTATGGATCTGAGGTACATATAACTAATGTTTGTTGAGTTCATTTACCTAAAACAAATGAAGCAAAGCAAAATAAGAAATATATATCTCAAAATTTTGTTGCATAGATTGTATTTGGTTTTCTGCCTTTTGGTTTATCATGTGTATCAACAATTCATTAGTTATCAATGAATAATAATCGGTAATATGCATTTAGTACTTCCAGATATTTGTTAGAGCCTCTGGAAAAAAGGATGAGAAAACCAATATATGATACTTGATATGTACCAGACCAATTTTTTTCTGAAAGGCAAACTTTGTTAAAGCTTTTCATGAAGATTTGATGTGTCCTTTTCTCTTTCAAATGAAATCCACTGTATCTCTTCATATTTATATAAAGCATTATTAAGTTTCCATGATTTTACTTTCTGATTTGCATGTCAGTGCTGTAGCTTTTAAAAGTCAAAGACCTCATAAACTGTTATGAAAAATTCTTTGCAGATTTATGAAGGTTTGAAAGCATACAGGGGAGCAGATCGCAAAATTCGTCTTTTTAGACCCATGGAAAATTTGAAGAGGTTTTGGAACTCAGCAAGAAGAATGGCTTTGCCTGTGAGTTCTCTCAATTTGTAAAACTTATTATTTGCTCTATTCATAGAGGCATCATATACTCCATTCCACCTGTCTATATCAGTTAAAGATTCGTTTTTTTTGAGTATAAGTGCCAAATAATGCTAAGAGAGATATTGTAGGAAGAACATATTTTATTTTCCAGTTGCATCTGGGTTCAGAAACTTTGCAGCTTGATCATAGTTAAACACTACCCATTATTAATAATTCAATAAAGATGATGAAAATACATTCATTTATTGATCTTATTAGACTTTTTACAGGGTAAATCACCATGTTGTCATCTTGCTTTTTTCCTGACTCTCTTTCGTAATACTACTCATTGCCAGATTCAAAGAATCCGGCAGATAGCCTACCCTGCCTTCTTTCCTTCTTACACATGAATTATGATCACACATTTTACTAAAAGATTTGTATAATAATAATCATGATAATTTTGTTTATTTACAGATGGCTAAAGAAATAGTCATGTAGATAATTGCTAACTTTACCCACCTAAAATATTTTAAAATTGATTATCTTTAACTTTATATTATATAACTGTATATTTAAATGTTAATTCTATATTAAATTTACCCTATCTTGATTTAATTGTAAAAACTAATTTAGATTATATTTTTAATATCCCATTTGGGTTATGTTTGGGCCTACATCTTTAACTCTATTGCATTAAAAATATGACAAAGATTAACACAACCAGTATCCAAATAAAAATCAAATAAAATACAGTATTCAATCAAGCTACTTTTCTAGTTTTTTAACAACAAATATTGATAGTGACATTTATTTTAGTTCTTATAACCCTAGGCAAGAGACATACCTAACAGTAGCAATAAGTTTTCAAACGATTTTCTATCAAAGTTGCAACCATACTGGTTACATGTAGGTTATGCCAAATATCTTTGGCATACAACTGGGTACTTAAGCCAAATTTTTATATTTTCTCCAACAAAATTTTGGCGTAATTGCTTTTGCTTAGCCTGAATGTGCTATTTTTAACTAGGAAAGTTACTGACGTGGCGTAACCTTTAAAAAGTTATCCAAAGCTTTCTATGCATGCAATTTATGTTTAAGCGCATTCACGTTTAACTCTTAGTGTGTATGATGTAGACATTTATCTTTTGATACTGAACATAGACAGGGAATTCCATGTAAGTGACTGAATTTTTGTCTAACCTTCAAATGTTTTTACTGATTCCTATTAAATAGACCCTGTAGATTACAAATCCAAGATGGGACACTTTCGATTTTGACCGGAAGTGCCTTAATTTGATGACGTCAGAAAACAAGAAATTCATCCATTCTACCTGCAATTTCTCGGTACCCTTACACCCATTTTCAAGAATATCTGCATATTGTGATTCAGCACCACAAGGGCTATCGATTAATATATATTTCATTAATTTTTACTGACAAAGTTATTTTTAGAAATGACGTCATCATGAAATTAAACGACGTTTTGCTTGGACTTCACTTATTTTTTGTTACCAACATGTGTTTTATGATACAGAAACGCATTCCTTCATGTAGAAGCGTTGTTGAAGCCTGTTTTTGTGCAACTAGGCCTATCCTTGTGAAAACTGTGTCAAGCTCGAGGTCACAGCAATGGAAATTACAGCAAATTATATTTGAATTTTTCTAAATCTACCATACTATAGGTAATAGAAGGACGACCTCCCTCTATTATCTATGACCATACCAATCCGTATGTACAAGAATTGTGGTTTAAGACGTCCAGTCAAACTCATCTCTTTCCAACTCGCTATCACTGCTCGAGGAGTCACCAAAAAATATATAATCCAAAACGACTTTGCTCTCTGTAAATATCTCAGTACCGAGTTCTTCTTCACTATTTGAATATTTCGTGGTACACTCACGGGTGCTTGTGCTTATTGCTGCTTTTGTTTCCTTGTTCGTCGCCGTTTCGTAGCAGGAGGAGCTGGTTGTCCTGTTTCTTCATTCTCAGATGATAATGATAAGATTGAAGACGCTGCAAATGTTGATGGAATTTGTTCACCAAAAATATAATGGCTCTGTAAGGTACAAATGAATTTTTTTTAAATGTCGAATAGGAGTGGTCCATTAACACAGAGACGCGTTGATGCAAAAAAACAACAACTCACCCGTGAACTAAACAGGCTCTACCAGACCTTTTGCAACGTCAATAGTCCAACCGTTATCTTCGAGAGATAAGGATTGAATAGATTTTTCTGCAAATCTTAACCAATAATAAACTTGATAATGGAATTGTCTAACCGCTTGATGAATTGAGTCGGGGTCTGGAGGCAATGACTGCGATGATTTCGTTTTCATGGCTTTATACAAGCGAACTCTTGTGTCCACATACGACTCATCCCTTCTCCTAGAATACATAACAGTTTGGGCGAAAACCATGATATCCTTGATACTCTGCAAATCCAACTCTTTAGACTCTCCCAATGAACTTAAGAGATCTAGTGAATCTTGATTCTTCATTACTTTCTTTAGGAGCTTGACTTTCCCAACACCATAAAAGAAGGAGGTTGTGTCACACCCTGAGATTGCGTGAATGTGGGTAAATGCATTGAAACATTTTCACCCAAAAAGTCGTACACTTTTCCAACGTCGACATATTTCTCGTGATCTATTTTCATAAACCACTTTGAAGATGGCTTGACAATGGCATAAGCATGCACAAGTATTACTAGTACATCTGTGCATCGTGCATTTTTTGTGCATTTTGTGCAATAAACCATCGTGCATTTTTTGGACATTCATTTGTCACTGACTTTGATTCCTCCACCATAAAGTTTCTGAAAACATTTTAGGGGACTGGCGGAGTTCCCCTTCCGGTGTTGCAATGCTAAGTGGAACAGCAGTTAGCGGGTACTTGAAGGCGATGTGAAGATCCACTGAATTGCTCAGCATTGTCCCAAACGCTTGTCTATCTTAATTTAATACGGTCAATACTTTAGGAACTTTATTTTCCTTCTTTAACCCTGTTTGTAGCATAACTTTCTTTATAGGCTGAAAGAAATCTACAGTTCCTTTTACAAGTCTTTCATCTATAAACTGCAAATACTTATTATTTCCCAATAAAGGTGCATTTAGCAAACCTGCAATAACTTTTTTGTCAATTTCAGAGCCAGTCGTTAGATACCTGGCTGGACCATCTGCTAATGGATCGATTTAATAGCTTGTCAGTTTGTCTTTGAGAGCGTTAACATAAGCAACATGCATCTTCTTTCCAGAAGGTGTTTGTTCCTTGTGAACTGAAGAAGTAGATTTATTGATCTTTTCTCTTAATGCTAACTGTAATTTGGCATGTATGTGCGTCGTTTTAATCCAAGTGTTGGTGTAGCTTGGACTAGTGCTAAATCCAGCTCTAAAAGGACCAGCGTTTCTTGCTGAATAACACCATGCTTTCCTTCACTCCGTTCTATCATGGTTCGAAAAGATGTTCTGCAGTTCGAATGAGCTTTGCCAAAGCGGTATCACAGCAGTATTTTTGATCGTCAAAGTTGATGTTTATCATAGACCATCTTTGGGCCTTTTTTCCTTCACAGCCGCCCAACCTGCACTCTTAAATTCAGTCACTTTTCCTCCTTTAATCAAATATCCACAAAGCAAACATTTTCTTTCTTCTTCATCGTGCAAAGCAAGAAAAGACCTACTTGAGGCCATGTTTCTTGTCAAAACTGTTCTGCTTTAGTCAGTCACAGTTTACAAGCACGTGTATTGCTTTTTAAACTGACAACAGAAAAATTCCTGTGTTGAATGTTCTCTGACATTTCAGAGGATTGGAAATTTTTCCATTTCCGGAAAAAGCAGTCAATTAACGCAAAATATGTGTTTTTCATTTGCGTAACAATGAAATTGTGTTAGCTGTTATACAAAAGTCTTTCGAAGAGTAAATACACAGTATTTTTATGAGAAACATAGGCGTACAGTAGACACGTCTAAGTACTGAAAGTTACTTAATTGTCATGAATATTGAGTACTGAGTTCCTCACAGACAATTTATTATAAAAAATGTTTGACTTCCTTTTCTATATGACTGAGCTTGACACAGTCTCTTAAACATACAATATACCCCAGTCCCACAACAAGTCTCTTCTTGAAGAACAAGATAAACTATTGTTTCAGTAATTAATAGAACGAGAGGGTAAGGGGTAAATTGCCCCCAATTTAGTAAACTAAGAATTGCCCTGCAAAGGAATACATTTCTGTATCATAAAACACATTTTGGTAACAAAAAATAAGTGGAGTCCAAGCAAAACATCGTTTTATGTAATGATGACGTCATTTCTAAAAATAACTTTGTCAGTAAAAATTAATAAAATATATATCAATCGATAGCCCTTGTGGTGCTGGATCAAAATATGCAAATATTCTTGAAAATGGGTGTAAGGGAACCGATAAATTGCAGGTAGAATGGATAAATTTCTTATTTTCTGACGTCATCAAATTAAGGCACTTCCGGTCAAAATCGAAAGTGATCCATCTTGGATATGTAATCTACAGGGTCGATTTAATAGAAATCAGTAATAACATTTGAGGTTAGGCAAAAGGGGGTTGATCTGTCAGACAAAAACAAAATTGAGACAGAATCCAACAACAGGGAATATCAAAATCAAGATATGACTAAGCAGTTGAAATTTGATACACTCAAGCTATTCTATAGGGCGTGGTCACAAAAGTTTTCTGCTCCAAAAAAATGTCTCATGGCCCTAACTAGTGACACTTACAAATGGCACTCTTATTTAAAACATGTTTGCAACAGAAGACGTTTTCAGGTTTTTTTAAGGACGTGTTTCCCGTGGGTAGATCCCTGGACCCATACTGTTAGGTTCATAAGAGCCGCTAAACCTCCCCACCCTGGCAACACCACTTATGCCTGTGTACCGTTTTAATTTGAAAATGATACAATAAACGACACGTCGTAACCTGCATAACCTCTTCGTCAGGAGCTAGCGTAGAGGCTGCACACAGACTAGGCACATCCCTGTCGGACAAATATAATATACAACGTATTTTCCTGAGGGTTGCTTAGCGTGGCGTGAAGTGCCTATCGAATTTAGGAAAGCCTGCGGTAGGAATCGTACGCCAAGATTTCATGCCTTTGGCGTGCAAAATGCGAACTTTCCAGCATGAAGTTCTAACGTGTGTTCTTGCCAGGAGTACAGTTGCACAGTTATCTTCATTTTCAGAGACAACACAATTCATGAAATACTGCTCATTTTTTAGAAATATATTAATGTTTCTCTAATATGTTTGGTTCTTTGTTAATGACTTACTTGCTGCTCTGGTAATGGTTCTCTTTATAAACATTGGTATTTTTTTCATGTAATAATCAAAATGTGCCTTAACAGTAACTGGAAAAGGTGATACCCGATGATGTTAGTTATCTTTAATTGTTAAAGAAGTAGTACAGTAGACTCCGGTTTTGCTCACACCAAATGTTCCTTGAAAAGCTGTGAAAGTAAGTGGAAATTGACTGTAAGCGGGACTAATTTGAATAGTTTTGCATATTTAGGTCTAAATTTTATGTGACTATGAACGGTAGTGCCTTGAAGCAGTGTGACTTTAAGATGAATCAACTGCATTGAAGAGGTATGAAAAAACCTATACTGACTTTTTTCAAATCATTTTTCGGTAGATGAAATAAAGCCTTAGCAACAATTAACATATTCGTTTTGGATCTGCATGTTTATATTTGTAGTTATTCACCCTCCTGTAAGGATTAAATTGTCAACTCAAAGGAAACTACCATCATTTGGGCAAACTGTTAGAGAAATTAATAAATTAATGTGCCTAACAGTCAATTAGAATCTTAGCACGTGGAGTAGCTAAGACTCTCAGCAGTCTAAATGATATTTTTATGAAGGACCATTCTTTCCCTTTCTACAACTTTCGTGTAGAAAGTCCCCTTCTGACACCAAAAGTCAGAACTACAATTTATGGAATCAGATAACTCAGTTTCTAAGAGTTGAAAATCTGGAACTCACTTCCAGATGAAATCAAACATCCGGAAATTCAAAAGAATTAATAAATCTGATCAAAACTCTGTTCCATGAAAATAAATGCGCTTCTTTTTGCCATAAATGAGCTACCTCATGCAATCCTTGAAATTGCTTCATGTTTGTCTGTTTTTTGATCATTTTTGTAACAAATAACATTAAATAAATCACAAACATATACATACATACATATACAATTGCCACCAAGTCTCAGTGCTGTTTACTCTGTGCAGCACACAAAGAGGTTTTATACGTATTTGAGGACTACAACCGATATCAACCCTTAAAAGCATGAATACATAAGTTTTGGTTGTTTTTCTAAAGAACTGCTTTTTTTATTTCTCTTCTAATTCAAAGGGAAATCTTTTTCTCCTATTTAAAATACATTCGGATCTATTTTTAGGTTATTTTGATGTTATTTTTATGTTATTGCCATTCGTTACTTGAACATAGTTTTAGTGGTATGTACTAGTGGAAATTTATGCATTATGTTGGGTAATGATTTTGTTTTTTAAACTCGGCGAAAGAAAAAACGTTTTTCTTACATTCAGTTGTCAAAGCTTCAAACAGTAGGTAATTTGGAACTATTTCCTGAACCCCCTTTGCATTTTCCGGTTTTTTAGAATACCTGTAAGTCATTTAAGCAATAAAAGCAAACAGCATCACCCCCCCCCCTGTTTAAGCAAGCATCCCCACAGCCTTGGTAATTTGAGTGAATATGAACCAATATGCTTTACAAGCACGCTTTTTTCCAATTTTTTTCTCCAACTGGAAAGTGAAAAAGAACCCTTTTCGTATAGGATAGGTTAGGCAAACTGTTAGAGAAATTAATAAATTAATGTGCCTAACAGAAGATTACCCCTGTACTTCACAGGTAAAAAGGTCTTCTATTTGAGCCTGCTTATCCCGTTTGTAGCGTTTTTTCGCTCGTTCTTCCTTTGGTTATTTAATTCTTTTGTTTCATGGCTTGTAGACATAGTATAACTGGCCCTATTTATAGATAAATCACAAATTTTTTTAAATTTTCTCAACTCGTGCCTTTTCATTTCAGACATTTGATAAAGAAGAATTGTATAAATGCCTAGTGGAACTCGTACGATTGGACCAAGACTGGGTACCATATTCACAGTCTTGCTCGCTCTACATACGGCCCACGTTAATTGGAACAGAGGTACCAAATACGCTTGTTGCTGATTGAGCAAGTGTTGGCTTGTTTTGCTGTGACAATTATTTGCTTGTTATGACAATTATTTGATGAATAGACGAAGTGCAGTAAGACACCATATCTTGTTATAATGTTGGTATTTAGCTTGACAACAAACGACACTTGACATAAACCTACTGAAACTATCAATGTAATATAGCTGTAAAATGATGCGTTTTGCCGCCCTATTGTTTTCTTTGTCTTTTTTTAGTTTTTCGGAATTATACGACTTAATAATACTTAATACTTAATAATAATAATGCGACAAAGACACCTGCTTCTATGACAAATCAGATATCGCAATATTGTCACAAAGTCGACGATAGGCTGCTTTCAGTCAGTCTCATTTCCAGCCACTCAGATAAGCTTCCGAAAACCAGTACACTTTGATAAAAGAATTTATGCTATCTAAGCAATTTTTGCGAATGATTGCTTCATAACCTTATTCTATTTTATTCATTATATTAATTCTTCACCTTCTAACTCTTTTATTGTTATTATTAGCCCAGCCTTGGCGTCAAAACTCCGTCGTCCGCTATGCTGTTTGTCATCACCTGCCCTGTTGGTCCGTACTTTAAGTCTGGAACATTCAACCCTGTCTCTTTGTTGGCTGATGAGAAATATATAAGGTCTTGGCCTGGTGGTGTTGGCGAAGTAAAAGCCGGTGGGTGAGTAGGATCTTTACTCATATTGCAATGCATGTCATCTAACGCATGTTTCGGAGCATTAATCGCACTTCACAGCTCTTTGCATCAACTGGATTATTCTCAGTGGTTCATAAGTTTGAGTCTTTTCAAATTGTTTCTTCGGCGTGAAGGATTATTTTGTTCTGTCCGTGCCAATAACGATTATCTGCTCTAGAGAGATTACCTGCTCTAAAAAGATTACCTGCTCTAGAGAGATTACCTGCTCTAGAGAGATTACCTGCTCGAAAGAGATTACCTGCTCTAGACAGATTATCTAAAGAAATTATCTAAAGAGATTATCTAAAGAGATTATCTAAAGAGATTATCTAAAGAGATTATCTAAAGAGGCCTGTGTGATGGATGTGACGTTACTTTCGTTCTTTTTTATAGAAACTATGGTGCTACTGTTTATATACAAGGACAAGCTGAAAAACAAGGCTGCAATCAAGTTTTGTGGCTATTTAATGACCAGGTTAGGAGCAAATTGAAACTGACGTTTGTTCGCAGCCTCAAGTTTTATTTAGTTTGTTTATAAAATCGAATGTATCCTGTAAAACTGCCAATTACTGAATGCTTTTCTCTAGCTTATAAAGGTAGCCCTAAACCAAAGCAATACGTTCTTTAGTTTGCATTTAAAATGACTGTCTTGTGTCACGACCGTAAAATTACTATGATATGCATTTGCATAGCATAGCCCTCGATAAAAATTCTGTATATGCAGATAAAAGTTCTCTATCGACTTTATCCCTTCTGTGCTTATGCGGTTACCAAGATTTTAATACATGGGTGTGGCGAAAAAGCGTCTTTTGGGGGTTGTTTGACTGCCTCTAATTGTGATTGTAGGCCATCTCGGTGCCGCGGTAGCCGCGTCGTTAAGGCGCTTGACTCGGTGCTCCGGGCTCGATTCCGGCTCGCGGACGGTCCTCAGTTCACTCAGCTGAAAATAAATACCTTGTTGAGACATACTAGTAAGGTAAAAGCGGCGTTGAAAGGAATTGACCATCATCCCATACAATGCCGTTGCCCAGGACAATGTGCCCCTAACGATGAATTCCCCAGCGTTCATTATCGAGTACGGGACTAACTTTAACCTCTATCTTTAGGTCATCTCATGTGATTACATTTCTTCCCTCTTATTGTTTCTTTTTTGCTAGCCTTTTTGTCTGTTTTTCCCTGTATGCATTTAAAAGCCCCTTATCTGTGTTTTCTGAATCAATTATTTTTTCAGGTAACTGAAGTTGGGACTATGAATCTTTTTATGTACTGGATCAATGATTCTGGGGGTAAGTGTCAACTCGACGCACTGCAAAGATTTTTTCTGAACGATTGCGACAAGATTGCATATGTGATGACGTTATCAGTTGCATTTTCTGTCAACAAACTATATGACGTCATCATCTTTTGTGATAACGTCATGTATTTTCCTGTCAAATCTAAAATTCGTGTTTATATTTTCTTTATAACCTAGTAACGTCACTTGATTTTATGTAGCCACCTTTTATTGCATCCTCTCAAATTATGACATTTTTTACCATAGTGGGGCAAACAGTTTTGCTACCCTGTCTGTGCAACCTTTTTGAATGCGCCTCTTCTTTCTGTGCAACGTTGATCTTCCTTCCTTGCTTGCCGTCAAACTCTTGTTAGAACAAAAAAGGTGCGTTTGTTCGCATAGATTCTACTCGAAAAAATACTTCAACTTTTCCAAGATTAGGATATAAAGCTCTAACAAAACGATGACAGCAAATAAATTCCCCTTCCTCTAGAATACAATCAACTGTTATTTTTCTCGCAGTCCTTTTCAACCTCCCCGTCCTAGCTTCTTTTCCAACTCCCTCTCACTTTCTTTCACCCTATCTCTGCCGGGGGTTCTGCCTAAATTACATGAAAATACTAATAATAGAATCAAAGTTAAGGGGGTTTCTAAGGAAGCTCTAACATTAACATCATCTTTTTTTGTCCTTGCCTATGATGTGTCGATTCTTTTCAAATACGAGAGTTAATCTCTTATAAATGTAGGGAATTCGAGGTGAAATTCGCAGCCACGCGGGAGTGTAGAATGTTAGGGATGAGGTGATATACAGCCTAAATGATAATTTAGTATTGTTCAAAAAGTACCCAATTTTCCTGCTTTTTCAGTTGAGGAACTCATTACCCCGCCATTGGATGGCCTTACACTTGCTGGTATAACACGCAAGTCCATTTTAGAATTAGCAAGAAGTTGGGTATGTATTTCTCGAAATGTATATAGATACACATTTAGATTGAAATGCAAATTTTTTCTGCATATATCCCAATTGATCATTTTATATAGAACCTTATTTTTGCTCGACAAAACATTGCGAATAGCACTAAGGCTTGGCGCCCATTATAAGGTACCCACGACGATACCCACACTTTGTTATATTCATCAACTTGATCTCCCTCACTTACTTACTACACACCCTTAATAGCGCAATCAATTTTACAATCTCTTTTTGATGGATACGTTTTATCCATGTCTTTGAAGGGATTCTTGTTTAAAAATATTTGAATGGTATGAAAATATTTTACCAGCTAATTATTGTTTTTGCTAAAAAGGCCTTTAAATTCTTAGCTAGTTTTTCATTGGTTTTCTTCGACTGCTTACTTTGTATTCACTTTGATCTGACTTCTTTGATTGATGAAGGTCTGTTTTCAAAAAATTTCCCCGCCCACATGATACTGCATTCAAAAAACCTTTTTATTCTGCAAATTAGAAGATTATGCAGAAAGGCAGAAAAATAGCCTACTTGACTCCGTTTATCTTTTTATTTTATCGACTAGTGGCTAACAAGTGCGTCATACATAAAAAGTTAACTTTGGCACAAAAATTCATAAACATGACTTAGTTTTGGAAGAAATCGTTAGTTCCCCTTTTCTTTTTAATAAAGGCTTTCCAAGTTATATATTAACTAGAGACTGTTGTTGGACAGAATGATTTTGTGTTTTCTCTCTAGGACTCTCCAACTAGCTGAGAGGTTTGCGGTCGTTGATTGAACAAAACAAGGACAATAAAATACATCTTTCTCTATCCGACATTTCTTTTGATCTGCATCTTGACATAGAATGGCCCTTACTTTGAGTCACTATCTGATGTTTCTACACTCAGAAGGATAAACAAAACGATGCTGTATTCACTTGAAGACAATGCTAAAACGATTTTCTTTAGTAAAGCCTTCTTATTTGCTTTCATATATTTTCGGTTCTCCTTAATACCAGGGTGAATTCAAGGTGTCTGAGAGAATGTTTACCATGAAGGATCTATCGATAGCCGCCAAAGAAGGAAGGGTAAGCTAAAATATTTCTTTGTTTTCTTAGTAAAATTTATAGTTGCTCAGAAGTTTCTATAAAATTTTTGTGTCATCCTTGCTCTGGTAAAAGATGAAATGAAGGCAAGCAACAAATTTGGTGAGATTTTTCGATTTTATAATCAGTCATTGTAAAAATCGTTGATCTGAGATCTTGAAGTACATCGAACAATCTTTTCTAGATTAAAGAAATATTTGGTTCAGGAACGGCATGTATGGTTTGTCCAGTAGATAGGATTCTCTACAAAGGAGAAGTAAGTGTATTTTTGTTGAACTGGGTTTCTTTGTGAATATTTGTGCACATGTTTGCTTGCTTCTCTTTTCTTCATCAGATCTAGATTCCCAAGATTTAAGTCTCGATTGCCTTTTTGATGGGCATTATCATATCAAGATAAAGATCTTGATTGTCTATGGTTGTCAAGACTTGGATTTGGTCTGCATAGTTGAACTATTCATTGTCAGCATTTAAATTATGATCATTTTGATCTAAGATTGGATATAGTTCTGGATTGTCTGGATCTAAGTCTGGATTTTCTGCATCTTGGTCTGGATTGTCCAGTTACACTCTTTATTCCTGGGATCACCGTTGTCGGTATCAGATCACATCTATCTGGCTCAACTTAAAAACATAGCTTTTTGGATTCAGATCATGACCTTGTTTTGATAATGATTGCAATTTCTCACGATTGTCTTGTTCTGTAACATGGTTGTCTATTGGGCTCTTTTCTGTCAGTTTTTTATTCCTTGTAATTTCCCAAGTCTTTCAAAAATCGATTTCTTAAAACGAACAGCCAGCACGCGAAATTTCTAAATCGTGTAGAAAGTTTCTGCTTATTTGAAAATATGGCCTTGTTTGTGACAAGCTTACCTATTAAAGAAAGTTTAATTTACCTATCTAACCTACAGCAATTGCATATTCCAACAATGGAGAATGGCCCGGATCTAACAAAACGCTTCTACCAAGAGTTAAATGATATTCAGGTTAGTAAGTTATTGTTCTGTGTTCATAATTATTATTATTGTATGATTTTTGTAAGATGGGGTATTAAAGGGGTCAGAGCAGTGGATCGGCCTTGTAGCTTCAATGATGCTCCGATCCCTGTGTAGAATATGAAAGGGGTCAGAGCAGCGAATCGTCCTTGTAACTTCTACAATGCTGCGATCCCTGTATGATGTTGCTATCGCACCTTAAATTGCTACTCTCCATATGACTATTTGCAGCACTTTATTTGATTGTTCATGATGTCCCATTCCTTAATGTCATCCAATTTTGGTTTTTCTTGTATTCGCTTGCACAAGGTTTTGATTTCTTGGGCTTGACAAGTTTTGTTTCTTCATGGTACCTGTTTTATAAGGATGCAATTTAATATACCAAGCTACGATTATACAAAATGTATTTCAATTGCTAGGGGTAGAGGCTTCTCACACCGCAACCTTTAATAACACTGAAAGTGTTAGGTAAAGTCCTTGTCTGGTCAATAAATGATAAGGTCCTTGTCTATACCAATTTCTATTTTATTTACCTAACAGTACACCCCTAAAGTCATTTTGTGGCTGTTGTTAGTTGTACTACCATAGAGTATTAAATCGCATAGATTAAACTGTTTTGCGAGCTTTTTACTTTTTATCTTTGTTTCTACAGCTAATCCTTTTTTTTGTTTTCTAGTACGGTCGTCAAGAACACGAATGGACTGAGATTATATCTTAAAATTGAAAAGCCGTCATGCAATAGAAATGTTTCAACGCTTCTCTAAGTCTATGTAAAGAGAATGATGGCAAAAGCTGCGCAAATTTGAAAATTTTGCAATTCATTCACGGACTGTAACGCCCTCTCGGATACAGAACTGAAAACATAAACACCTTTTTCAATGAACAAGTGCATCAAAAAAGAAATGTGGTAAAATGAAAAAAAGCATCATGTAAAATACGACTTTTATCGAAAAAAAATAGATATTTTTTAAATCTGTTTTAAAAATCGAAAAGAATCGAAAAAAATATGTCAATTTTAAACCTTCTCCTTTTTTCTCAATTACTATTCCTATTCCACTTCTGGGAAGGACAGAATCCAAGTTGTAGAAGACGACTGGGAAAAGTTTACGAAAAAAGTATTCAATAGATGGGCGATACCTGCTATTTGAACACGATGATTTGTGCTTTTCCAATAAATCATATTCACACGATGTCGTGTAATTAAAAGTATCGAGTTTTTCCCCACTGATAATTTTTTTCCAATACCACTTTTTAAATTTCCTAGGCCACTAGTAGTGACCAATAGGACTCTGAATTAGGCACTGGCTTTTGGGGTTACCTGGTCGTTGCGGTAAAACAGTTGCATGTTTTTGCAACATTCTCAGGTTTATAATCTAATTTCAAAAGATTGAAAATACTTTCTGATGTCATGATTGTGATGCAATACCAAAAATGCGTTTATCTTATGAACACCAGATAAAAACGCGTTCCAGAAACCATCTCCCGATTTTTGATGATAGCTCCAGACTAAAAGAGAATGAACCATACTTATAGTTTTCTACTATTCGAATGAAAACGGTCTTCTGATTGGTCCATTTTCCACGAATCCGTATTCCTTTGAGGTTATGTAACTCAATTTAACGGTACCCAAATTTGTGTTGCTGCGATAGTGGCGTGTTCTTGAAGTGGCACACAGCAGAGTGGCGTGTACTTGACGACTTGACGAAGTGAAATCTACATCAGAATCCGTTGTGCCGATCCACAAAGCCAAGGATTTTCCATCATCATTCATGCAGATTTCATCCATTGCACAAAGTCTTCTGATAGCATAAACTAAATCTAATGCAAGCTTGTGATTTGAACTTTTGACAGCAAAATAAAAAAATCGTCGGTTAGAATATTCAAAATGATGTTTCGTGTTTTCTCTTTACTATTTTTGAAGTTTCATGTTTATGATCTAAAATTCAGAAAATTACGTCATCAAGCCACCCTGTGATCAAGCCCCACTGAATTATTTATCACGAACATACAAGATAAGGTAAAGGGTAATTAATTGATACTGAAATGCACCGTTGAATACGTCAAGCAAACTAAACGATTTCAATGAATTCTCTTTAGTCGTTGTATGCTATATCTGGTAGATTGAATCCTGTGGTCCTGAACTGACACGATGACCTTACAAAGTTGCATTTTGTACTGTATTGTGCTGTATTGTGCTGTGTTGTTCTTTATTGCGTATTTATAGTGTATCATGCAAAGTTCTGGAATATTTGTAATGTTTGGTGTGGAGGCAACTCGATAACGTTATGTTTTTTGCCTCCATCTTAACAATGATCAACTTGAGTTTTTTTGTGTTTGTTTTTAACGTGATAGAAAAAAAAAAGAAAAAACAGTAATTAATAACAATTATGCAAGAAGCAACTAAAAGGACCTTACGGGTAGCATCGGTGCCAATGCTACACAAATTCTAATGCATCCAAGCTCTTTTTAATAGATGCTGTTAGAAGATTCATATGCATCAGAGTGGAACACGTAACAGAGCAAAGCAAATCCAATGCATTAAAACAGTTACATTTGACATTACGTTTGCACACCTGATGATTATGTATCTTATCCACCCGTACATCAGGTATCAGCAATTCTAAACAGCATTCATCTTTCTTAATGTATATTTTCAAGCTGGTACTTCTTCAGTTCACGATGCGCACGAAGTATGAGCCAATTGCGCACGTTGCTGGTATCAATGCCCTGTTTCATTCAATTTTCATACAACCAATGTAATCTTCTAATTTTTCAACGACGATAAAAAAATCTTTGTAAATATATGTCGGCCTCTGGTAAGAGAGATCAACAAATTGACACCTCTTGAAGGAGCTCTAGGCAGAAGTATAAAACAGACTTAAAAAGCCATTCAAAAACTTGATGCTTTACATCGCAAATCAACATACATGAATACACCTTTAACAATGACTTTGTTTATAAAGTTTCATTTAAGTTATTGCTCACCTGTATGAATGTTCCATGAAAACAATTTGGCTAATAAAATAAGCAATAATCAAGAACGTGTACTTTGAATAAAAAGCAAAGATGTATCTGCTATCAGCTACAACGAAATAAATGCCTGCTTTCCAAAAAATGTTTTTAGCTTCTCTAGACTGATATAAACCGACTGTCAATAATCTGAATCGAACTTTATTTGAAGATGTTTTATCTATTAGATGTATAAACTTGCTTTACCTAGGGCAAGGACATCAACAGATGGCACTGAGACTATTAGATTCAGCAGCTCAAAGTTATGGCAAAGGCTGTCTCTGAAAAGAAATAGTCGAAATCACTAAATATGCAAGCAATTTGTTATGTGATATCTGTTTTAAAGTCGATATTACCTTGTCTTTATATCTAACATACTGTAAATTGTATTTTTAGCGCCCCCCCTCCTCAAATAGGTCCCTCTCTTATTGTCCCCCCTTTTCAGAAGGAAAAAATTAATTAGCCCCCCTTCTCAATTTAGCCCCCCAAAAAACTTTCACTAATGCTGAAATAAGCAAACTTGACATAAAAACAAATATTTTCATTGTTTCATTGGTCGTTAAATACCTCACATCAAGTCAACATTCACATCATGTCTTTTCCAGTCAAGGCAGATGCGAGATAAAGATTTTATGTGCATTAAGCACGGCCCAGCCTTTTACCAAAATTACAGGCCGTTGGTACTCTGAGGGATGAAGTTGACATTGTCGAATGCTCGATTTCAGAAGGCGGCATGGCCCAAGAAGATATTTTAGAATAAATAATTGATGACGATGACGATGACAATATTATTGATATAGAAGGCTGATTTGATGATTTTCATTTCGCAAATAACAAAAAATTAGTTTACCACTATAAATGATTTTTTATTACAAAATATTTATGAAGCCCCCTCTCTTTTAAGCCCCCCTTTAAAGTGCTAAAAAGCAATAAGCCCCCCAGAATTTACGGTAAAAATCGAACAATTTTGCACGGCAAAGTTTAAACTTAAGAACAACTTTGGAAAAAATTACTTGCGGACACAGTCTGGAAATTAAAGACAAAAAACTATACACCAACATTTTCGATCAAACAAAATCCAGAAAATATGTTTATTTGTTACTAAACTAAATGATCTGCAACTGAACTAATATCCAATGATAATTGTGCGAATATAACAGCTCTCTTGTCAGTAGAGAAAAAATTCACACTTTGGATTTCTCTGTTCGCCTTAATTATTCCTCCGTATGATTGTTGTATGCAAACTGTGTCCTGAGAGGGACGATACACTAGGAATCAAAACTCAATTTTAAATTATATGCCATTCTGTCGTCCTGGCGTTTCTTTCTTATCTATAACATGTTTGTATCTTAGATTTAAAGGTTCTTTGTACTGCTGTGCGATTTGCGACTATAATTCGAAAAGCCGGCCTAAGATCGTACTGCATGAAAATACAAAATATAGTCAATTTCTCAAGACAACTGCCGCTATGCATGCTAGTGTAGCAAAGTCTTTAAGGCCAAGAATCAAGATATCCATGGCTAAGATCATCATATCACGTTGCTAAACTCGGCAATGTACCAAAAAGATGCTTGTGCATATTTGAAGACATCTACTCCTCTTTCGTAAACATTTTCAATGATTTGCACGTGGATAGCCATCACCAAAGAATATATCACATCCAAATTAACAACATCATAATCCAAACAGCATTATCTCTTTCTGCTGGAGAATTGAAGAGATGCCGTTTGCTTTTTGCATCGTCAGAATTTTTTTCTTTTAATCGATTTAACTCACAAAATAATAAAAACTGAATGGATGACAATAAAATATATTTAAGAATGTAAGAAATGGTTGTACCGGGCTAGCCAATCGCGAGGAAACTCAATCCGGCGAGGTCCATGCTCATTTTGCTAGAATTATTTAATTAATATTACATTATTGAAATCATTTTATTTAATAACAACGGTATTAATTGCCTTAGAGACCTAAACTCGTTATGAAAATGTGGCTTGATGGACCGTCAGTCATTTCGGCCGAAAATAGATATTTCTAAACAGAGGCGGCAAACCCATAAACGACAGCACACCCAGAAACTAAGTCCTTTATAAGGCAAGGAGCACCAATTTTAAAGGAAAACATAGAGGAAGAAAAATCTTAATGAAAAAAGTGAAGAAGTGATCTTTATAAAGATTTAATTCTTATATGTCATGTAATGCGGGTTATAATCAACCAGCCCTTTTATATTTATCTGCAATACTTTTTAATGAACTGAAAATTTGAATGAAATGAAAGTTATTCTTAAAGAAAATTGAGGTAGACAGTTCCACCTGGGGCGCCATCCCTGGAAAAATGGAAACAATTTGTTAGACAATATATTTTGATCTTTGCTAGTTGCTCAGCACATTGATCACTTCTTAATACTCACGACCTCACTAGCATGTTTACTGAAAGCACTCGATTGCAGGATAGAACCTGGTATCTTCCCTTTGAACCCGAATTGATTAGTCTACTCTGTCTCTAGACTCGAATAAAGTCACCAGCTACATTAATTGATTAAAATTTTATATTCTACCTTAATATTCGAAGAAATTTGTGCTTGAAAGTTATAAAGTAAACTAATAGTTTTCCTTTACATCAGCCATTTCAGCTCGATTCCATGTACTCATTTGGAAGAAAATTAATTTCTAGTCACAGGCCCAGAATTTAAAAAAGCATACTTCAATCCACGAAGGTATTCGAAGCATAACAATATCATATGCCACACCAAGTCACGCCAATTTTAGGCAAATTGTCAAAGGGCCGGTCCATTACTAGAAACAGATGAATACTTGATGCACCCAAAGATTTTCTCCAAATCTTTGGGTGCATCAAGTAATTTCTCCAAAATATAGGAGAAATTACGTACTTTTTCAACTTTATAAACTTATTAAAATACTTTCTTTACATTTTTAGATAAAATCTTCTTGACTGTTTAGATATTCTGATATTTGTGAGAATAAGCTAATTTTAATCCTTTCATGCCAACGAAAATAGTTTTATTACAAGAGCAGTGTTATTGTGAATTTGCTCCTAGATGTACAATCCCTTGTAGTGATTCCATTCATTCTAATTTTTCCTGACCTATCGCCATCCATTTTTACTTTATATATTTTACCTACAGGACTTTCTTTACATCACTACCCTCTACGAACATATCACTATGTCAACATTTTCTCTCTTTTGTTTAGGCCCTCATTAACCCTACACATCTACCTACACCTAAATTCATAAACTATTCACACTCGGCCTAGCCCTTCCTTTCCCACGCCACCTTATTTGTTTTACGTAATTAACCACCGCTTATGTCTATACTTTTCCATTAGATTTTTAGTTAGTTAGTTTTCATTTCGCTGGAGATAAGACGCGCAAAAACTCAGCAGATTAGGTTTCGTTGTGTCGATGGCCTGAGGCACCGTAAACCAAGAATCCAGATTATAAAGATAAGGATCGGTGAGATCGTACAATTACAACTTACTTATTTAATAGTTCATAATTCATGCACAGCGACAATTTGACCTATTAAACCCTTCAATGGAATTTAAGAACCACTTCCTACTTCGATTATAATAGCAAAGCTTACCTATCTAGAATACCATATTTAAACACCTAAACGATACTTACTTACTTTGCAAATGAATCTAGTATTTTGGCCATAATAAAGGATAGTTTCCCAATAAAAAAGTAGCAAGAAAAAACATCAAATTACTGAAGAATATAGGCTCCTCGAAACATATATCGCATTCTTCAGTTGCATTAATGGAAGAGCGATTTGAATGTGCTTGTCCGAAATATATTCAGGGTGATAAAATTCGCATTGTTACCAATACTTTTATTGAATTTTGCCAAATTTTTGTTAACATTCATGCTCACAGAGAACAAGTACATTGCCGTTAATTCACCGACTCAATGTCAGCAAACAATACAATGTTTATTGAGAATCCAGTCATGCATGAAAGTCCTCTAGACTGCAATTGCACGGTTTGATTTTGATGCACTTTGTGGAATAAAGACTAGTTTCCAACATAGAATGAAAACAGTTGAGAATGCTAGTCTTAGCATAAAACTCATTATATTAAAATACATTATCTGCAACGCATCGTTTTGAACTACGGCAGAGTAAAACTACTAAACTTTCTCTCTCGTGAACTTGTCAGCCATTTACTGGTTAAGTAATGCGCCGTTCGAGGCATTGATCCGTTTAATTCTACCTGCAAACTGAATAAAAAACACCTAAGGCTCCTTTTTGATAGTACAATTAAAATCAAATTGTAATGTGATTAGACGCATTTGTCACAAATTGTTGAACAGTACAGACAAATACATAGTGTCGCATTTCACAATATGACGGTATCTGTAACGAGATGGTTAGTTTTGTCAATAATTTCTTTATTGTCTTCTAAATGTTTATTTGCATGAACCAACGTAAACTGATAAATCATGTGCCTGAAGCTTTAGTTGTAATTGATTTGGTTTATTGTGTCTGATTGAAAGATCCATTTAGCTAAGTTTAACAGTTAACATTATTATGATGTAAAATGGAAAAAATATGCCTTGCACGTTCACTTGATTAATTTTTATCCATCCTAACAATGTATTAAAATTTTAAGTCACTTGTCTTGAAAGTTTTAATACTCTTTTTTTCTTTAACTGATTGTAGGATACTTGCTGGCTTTGTACTCGTGTCAGTCTGCAAGGACGTTTTCTGTGCACAGTCGACATCTGTCCGTATGTATCAACGCTGTTATCAAAACACTGCCAATTCTTTAGTTAAAAGACAAAAAAGATAATCTTGTTAATGAGCGAAGCGTCCCGCCGCCCACCCTATCTACCGGATGGCATCTCTCCCCCCCCCCCACCTCCCAAGAAGTAGAGCTAATTTTATAAATCAACTATTTTGCTTGCCTAGGCTAATATTAAATTCCCTCTAAATGCATCTTCTTCTTGGCAAAAAGCACGTTCCACCTAGCAAATCGTTTACAGCTTTCTTCATGTTGGAAATCATTCTTATTTTCATTTATTTAACTAAACTATTAAACAGGCTTGGAGTGCCGTTTCTAGAACTTCACAGTTTCTAATTGTATCTCAATCGCTAAAATGATTCATTTGTATGTTGATGATATTTTAGTGAATGAATGCAAATACAAAGTAGAGCCAATTGGATGTTTTGCTGACGACCTACGCAATAGGGCTTTGCCAGAACAGGTAAATCCCACTTTACCAGGCTTTTTTGGAACCCATTACTTGATTTCTGTTGAAGTTTTAAAATTAACGACTGAGACAAGTTTTGATGGTCTACTCGATTTTTTATGATTCGATGTTTATCGACGATTCTGGATATTTGTTTTTGATTTGAAAATAGTATATTTCCTAAATCGCGTTTTTGCTATCCATAGTTTTATAACCACAGCTTTCCTTCTTGTGACTAACTATCAGTCAGCAGCTAGCTTATCTTTCGTTTTATATATTCTCGTTTATATATTCTTATATATTTTCGTTTTAAATACCTCCCGGATTCTTAGACACTTTCATTTTCAACTGATTTCCTTAAAATGATTTAAAATGGCTTTAATAAAAGCAAAATGTCTTTGAAAAAACCGCTATTGTGTAGACAGAAGGAGTGCGTTTTTACCTCTGGACTCCATTGGTAACATTTTCAATAGGCAAGCGGCACTGACTGGACAACGTCCACAGTCATGTGCTCGCGTTTTAGATTGGCCTATTTCGATCAACAACTGGATTTATATAATTCCTATTGTAGTGTTTTGATCTATGTTCTAACGTTTTATAATCTGAAGAATGTCAGATGAAAAGCTTTAGTATTTTCTAAAATATTTGCTTTTTTCAAAGCCAATTTTGAATTTTGTACCACAAAAACGTTGTTTAAAATGAGTACTTTCATCTAATATCTAATCGGACCCTACCTTTATCTGATTTCATCTGACTTTTACTTTCAATGCTCTCTAAATGGAGCTTGCCAGACTAAAAGCATAATAGACAACTCTGAGGTAGACAACACAGGAAGCAATCTGCATAAATCTTACATCGGTCTAAGTAAAAATACTTTCAAGAAGCATTATTCCAACCACTGAAAATCCATCAAGCACGAGAACTATACAAAAACAGTACAGAACTATCTAAATTTGTCTTGCAATTATAGAGAAAAAGGGCAGACCTTTTTTCTAAACCATGCTAACTTTGCTTGCAACTTGCCATCTTTTGTTTTAGTAAGAATTCCACCTTACGCAAATTTTCTGAACGGATTTCAAAATGCCGACTTAAAAAATTATTTTCTTTATTTAATTGCCGGTAATTGAATAATTAAAAGCGTAATTTGCCACATAATTGAAACTACAAGCATTGAATTTTTGATACCTCCAGAGACATAAAAACTAGATATAATAACAACGATATAAGGAGCAGCCTGATAATGGTATTTAGAGTGAAACTCGGAGTAGAACTGTTCTGTTCTATAAACCAAAGAGCAACTTTTACCTTAGACTAATTTCGTTTAACTACTACCTTTCACTTAATCGGATATCAACATTCAACTGCATTTAACCACTTTTTACCTTACTCTTATTCCAAAAAAGTTTTTGCTACCGCAATACTTGAAGATTGCTCTAAACACTGGAAACATTGCATACTAAAGCCTTTTTCGTCCGACACTGAAAATAAGCTGAAAATGTATAAGGAAAGTAACGTGCGAGGAAGAATGCAAGTTTGATAACCACAAAATAACAAATCAAACGCGTTCTTCCTCCCACGTTACTTTCGATCAACACCTGTATATTTTCATCTTTCTTTCTGTCATTCTTCGACGTTTATACTCTAAAGAGTATCGGACTTAAAGTGATTTAGTATGCTATGTTTCCGATATTTGGTGTAATTTACTCTTATTCAGAGACGTAATTAGATGGATATTTTTGTAAAGATGTCTTTTATAATATTGGTTATTGATATTACGTAAGTAATTAGTAGTTTGATATGCATGCATTATAGATCATAAATGAAAGAGACCCGTACAGCAATGTATACAATGGTCGCTTGATTGAGTGGAAGACATACGACACATACCTGCAAGGATTTATATGCAGGTAATTGTACACTCTTCGCTTGTTCTTATGACTTTATCAGGCTGACAAGTGAGGTGAACATGAAAGATACTGCCTCCAAAAATATATATTTATCTCAGGGTGATTTTTTCGGAACCAAACCTCCCTCCTTTTAAATTTCAGTTACGACAAAATTAGTTTTTCCTACTGTTCAAAATTTCTCGTCCTGCTCACCATCAGAAACTTTCAAAAGTTAAAAATGCATTGAAATTCTCTGTTAGGCTCTCATCAAAATATGAAGATTTTCTCATATCACCTAATTCTAAGATAATCTTCGCCGTTTTTCTACTCATTCGTTAGTTTGGTAAATTGCCTTAAATTTAAAAATAGCATATTCACGAGCACAGTAAAACATAAGCCGCTTATGCCAGTGATATCAAAGCAACTATTTTTTATTGTCAATGTAAAATGCAAGTAATTTTATTAGCTACTCATTTTGATAATTGACTAGATTGAATGCATTTCATTTAAACGAAGTTAATATGATATTCATTGCATAATATTGTGAGACCAGCAAAGAACAACAATACAAAGTTCTTTCAGTCTTACCAGCTCTTCGACATCTTTTAGATTAATTAAGCAATTGTGAATTCTTGATAATAGTCGTATTACAATCAGTTAGCAAAGATTATCTCAAAGCATGTGTTTTTCCACGTTGCTTTTAAGATGCGCAGAAAAAGCGTTTGCGAAAGGCTACAAGATGATTGGCATTCAATTTTACGGTGGGTAAAGATAACTTTCGAATAAATTGTAGGGTATTGACTATATCACTATATATAATAATCCTCAGATTAACCATTCATTCCTTCCTCTTCCAAGTCAGATTTCCCTATTCGGGACTCTTTACAGAAAGCTAACTTCATTAATCAAGTTTGGTTGTTTTTTGATAATAGGTTTTCTCTATAAGATCATTATCAACAAACCATTTGCTTTTTTTCTTATAGCAAGAATCTAATGAAAAAAAATAAATGAAATAAAGTAAATAAGATGGTCGGTCGTTAGGTTTGAGGACTACAGATCCGCGATCTGTGGTTCGAGTCACTGACATGGCCAAACATTTTTTTACCCTGGGTGCCAGAGTCTCCATTTTTTAGTCTCAGAAATAAAGTTAGAAACTAGGCACAGCAAAATTTTTCAAACAAGGATTATTCATTATTTCCCACCGCAGCTGCGAATAATACTTTATCCCCGGATTCATGAGGCTCTGGTACTCATGGTAACATTATTTAGGAATTAAGAGTGTCGCCAGCCCTATGTTATTCAAGAAATCACAACGTGTTGTAACATCGAGAGAAATATACCAGGACAATGTTTGATAAGCGTCATAAACTTAGTGTTATAAACCTATTTTCAGAAACTATGTAGCAAAAAATTGATAAAAAGATATAAATTTTGCATCTTTGATTTTAGGAAAAAGCTTCAGGTCTTTCTGATAAATCTAAGTAGCAACTGCATGTAAAATTTCATCCAATATGCTATGATATCCTTATTTACATTAACTCTAAATGTAAGTAAAAATAATTGATAAATTTGCAGGTGAATGTTGGTCTGGACCAAGTTCCCACAAAGATTATAAAAAGCATGAGAAGTCATCACAATGCCTTACTCCAGTTGGCGAGGTTTGCGACAATACTCTGCCCGTTTGCACAGGAAAAGACTCGACTAATTATGTCTACCGAATTGCACCTACAGGTTGGTCGCGTCTTTTTGAACGTTTGTTGTTAACTTCCTGTATTGTAGTGGATGATACTGTATTGCCTCCCGCCATAGAAGGCAGACACGTACCGATTCGAGGCTATTGCTAGAACCTAGCAGCTTTAGAAGAAAGTAAATGTTTATGAAGTGAAAGATGGTGCAGTTATCCTGTGATATGCACAGTTTGTAGAGAAACTGAAAGAAGATAGAAAAGGCTTATATTTGAACAAAATAATGAAGATTTGGCACGAGCGCTTTTTTTCCACATGCAATAGTTTCAGAAATTCTATGTAAGGGTCAAAGTTAGAAAGTTTCCATTTAAAACGATTGGAAGGGGGATGGCACCCAGCTGAAACGCTGGATTCATTTTGATAAACTTGTCATATTTTTGTGTTTCGTAGATGAAATTGTTCCTTGTGATTACCAGACAGTTTGATTTGTCATGCAAACCATAAGTTTGTGATAAAATTTGTTTGCTCTTTATTGTCAAGACTGTTGCATGAATATTATATGTTCGTGTCATCTCAGAGGTGGGAAAAGTGAAGGAAAACTGAAATACTGAACTCATTTCAAAATATAAAAGCTTTAATAGTTGAGAGTTTCCAAGCTCTCTACAAAACATCGTGTGTAGCAAGTTAACTGCATTGTTGCAAACAATTAATTCTTAATTTTAAAACTACACACTGATCAACATACAACGACAAACTCATTTTTTCTTGAATTTGAATCATATAAAATTCCTAAATGTATTCTTAATTTATTCTAAAGAGTCTTCAAAAATAGAAAAAATTGGGTTTTTGGCAATCGGCAATCGATCAACATTTACTCACAATCAAGAGTGTGTCAAGACGTGTAGTGACGAAATTTTCATCAGGGGAGGCAAGGTCGCCTTTCATCGGGGAGGCAAGGTCGCCTTTCATTTAGAAGTATTATATTCAGTTAACATCAAAACAAAGGATCCCGACTTGTATGGACAGGAAAAGTTCGTTTCCTCTCTTGGACTTTTCAACTAGGCGAGAAATTAGCGTTCATTGATTGGTGTCAAACAGATAAGCCAATGAAACGCGTCTCTCTTGGTTTTCACATGGTTTTCGATCCACACATGAATATAAATTCTCTGCTAAATTACTTACTTTATCAGTAATTACAAATTTCACTATTACAACGTAGCTTGCAATTGGCTAGCCTGGTTTCACAAGAAAAAACTATAACAATCGTCATGAAAAACTGAGAGAAAAAATAAAACAGCCAAAGTTAAAAAGGATGTAATTCCGGATTTGTCCATGGCTTATTTTTGCAACAAAATATGTAGTACGTGGTACGGATGGCAATGTTGGAAAGTTTAGAAATGAGATACCGTTTTTGTTGCTGATCGATGGAGAGAGAGTCACACATTTTGAAGAATGAATTGCAGGAATTGCCGAAGATGCCAAGAGAGCCCATAGAAAAATTAAAAAGGAGACACATTTGAACTGCCGCTGTAAACCAGATAAGAGAGGAGCATAATTGCTGTGTTTTCTTGTTGCATTTGTGTCAAGATTGGATTCGAAGCCAACAGTTAGCTTTAAAATGTAGAGGTAATTGTTGTTAGTCCTCTAGAGAAGGTTTTCTAGAGTTATGATTGATGGTGAAAGAAAGCCAGGTATATCAGCGTAAATGGTAGTTTCATCTAGATTCATCATCATCTATGTCACAATCCTTGGACCTCTTTTTATAAAACCACTCTTTAAAACTGTTAATATCATCAAATGAAAAATCAAACAATGTCACTTCTATTGTTGTAGTATTTTGAAGTAATTAGAATCGCTTTTTATAGGCCTGTAAACTCAATGTGGTTCTTATAACTTAACCAAAAATCATAAGGTTCTATTCGTTAGAAACATATCAAGAGGGATTGTCAGCAGGTTTATAACAAGTGGGACTTTTTATTGCACTAATTCCTTTTTGTCATATTTCTGCAGAATGTGATATTTGCATGAAAACGGCCCAGTGAATAGCTATAATTATGTACCAATAACTGTTTGTCTTCTTTCTGCAGAATGTGGTATTTGTATGAATACGGTTCCATGTATGGTTGTAATGGTGCATCAATAATTGTTTGTCATCTTTTTGCAGAATGCGATGTTTGCATGAAAACGGCCCAGTGAATAGTTATAAATATGTACCAATAACTGTTTGTCTTCTTTCTGCAGAATGTGGTATTTGTATGAAAACGGTTCCATGTATGGTTGTAATGATGCATCAATAATTGTTTGTCATCTTTTTGCAGAATGCGATGTTTGCATGAAAACGGCCCAGTGAATAGTTATAAATATGTACCAATAACTGTTTGTCTTCTTTCTGCAGAATGTGGTATTTGTATGAAAACGGTTCCATGTATGGTTGTAATGATGCATCAATAATTGTTTGTCATCTTTTTGCAGAATGCGATGTTTGCATGAAAACGGCCCAGTGAATAGTTATAAATATGTACCAATAACTGTTTGTCTTCTTTCTGCAGAATGTGGTATTTGTATGAAAACGGTTCCATGTATGGTTGTAATGATGCATCAATAATTGTTTGTCATCTTTTTGCAGAATGCGATGTTTGCATGAAAACGGCCCAGTGAATAGTTATAAATATGTACCAATAACTGTTTGTCTTCTTTCTGCAGAATGTGGTATTTGTATGAAAACGGTTCCATGTATGGTTGTAATGATGCATCAATAATTGTTTGTCATCTTTTTGCAGAATGTAGCTGATGTTCCGATAAAAACGACCCCATGTATAGTTGTAACGATGCATTAATAATTGTTTGTCATATTTCTACAGAATGTGATATTCCCTATGCACCAGTCGGTTGTTTCAAGGACAACAACGTTGACCCACGTCCTTTGCCTGAATATGTGATGAATGAACGAGACTATTCCACTTCAAACTGGAATGGCAAGTTGATTGACTGGAAAAATTGGGATACGTACAGCCCTCAGTTCATATGCAGATGCGCCAAAGCGGTGAAAGAAAAGGGATTTACTTATTTCGGTGCTCAGTTCTTTGGTAAGCCATCTTTGTCTGAATTACGATGTTTCTTCTGTCCTTCAGTCAATGTATAATTACACTCATTTTTTATAAGAAACCGGCTGAAGAAACGAGTACTGGACAGTCAAAAAAAACTTCAGGACTCAAAGCAAGAGAATTACGAAAGTATTAAATCGTGATAAAACTGAAAACAATAAAATTTTGTAAAACCTAAGAACATGATTGCGCTTTGGCCTAGAACAAACGACACAAAGGATAAAAATCAGAACGGAAGCGAATTTCTTGACGTGATAAAGAAGGTCACAAACATTTCATAGATTAAAAAACAGATTCAAAATCTCTCATCTTTTGTAATAATTCCTAACATTAACTAAAATTTCTTCCTAGCATGAAAAATTGGATATATCAAAAATATATCATAATATTAAATATATCATATAAAAAAATTAATCACATCATAATAAGAAACTCTTAAGAGACAATGAGTATTGAAACTTCCAGAACATTAAGAAACTGGTGTACTCAACATCGATCTTATTTCTTATAAAAAACTGAGTGTATTGCATATCGGCACACGAAGAATGAATTCTTTGTCTACAAATTTTAACTACAAATTTTTGGTATTAAAAGCCTAAACAAGATTTATTTGGATCAAGACCAAAGCTATTATTTGATCATGTTTGGACTGATTGTAAAACCATTTTATGCTTCCTCAGTGCACAGACTGACAAGAATTTAAGGGGTCAATCGCATGCAATTGTTATTATGAGGATAAAATTCAGGAAGAAAGCAAAACGGCGACGAGAATCCAATGTTATAAGATAATTTTTCAAAATAAATTAAATTAAACAAATACTAATATTTCGCTCCGGCACACAGGGCTTCATCAGAGGAAATGAAACGAACGAGTAAATGAATTTGAAATGTAAGATGGTGATTGGTTGTGAATGCAGCGCATTTGGGAAAAATGGGATGACGGAAGTGGGTAACAGAAGGGTGGTGGGTGATGTAAGGGGATGTGGGTGGTGCTGTGGAGATTGATGCAATTGAATGATAATGATGACTATGAATATGAACATAAAAAACAAAAATAATAATAATAATAATTATGATGGAACTAAGAATAATGGAATGTTGATGATAGTAATGCTGGTCATACTTGTTATAGTTGTTGCTCTTGTCATCTTTCTGTGTAGACAGGGCATAGTGAAATGTGTAATAATTTCATTTTATATTTCAACAATTTTGCAATACTATTCAGTGTATCTTTGCATAAATTGGCAGTTTACAAATCTGCTAAATCAAAAGCCAAATTGCAGCTACAGTTACCTGTTTTCAAATCAGGATAGAAAAAAGAATATTTTGTATTTTCATAATGAGCTTTTATAATACTAGTGTCATCTACATACCACCGAGTTGCTAGAGAACACAAAGAGGCATCGAAATTTGAAATGTGTCAAAAGTAAATTGAATTTAAATCAAAATTTTTAAATTATACTGTGTTATGGTATTGTAGGAGAATGCTGGAGTGGTGAAAATTCAAAGATAAGCATCGAAAAAGATGGCACCTCCGAGAAATGCATTGCCGAGAAGTTTGAGCCGTGTTCCTATAATTCCTACCATTGTGTTGGTCAGGACCACACAAACAGAGTTTACAAACTAATTGAAGGTATTGTGATTACGCAGTAGAAGCTTTTGGTACTGTAACTACCATATCAGTTACTGAGATTGCATAAATGAAGCAAGGGTCTCTCTTCTGTTATTGTCACATTTGCTATGTTTTTTATTGCACCGAATTATGCAAGCGGCTGTGTGTATAGAGGGCTACGTAATCTACTTACATCCATCTCAGATGTTAGATCCGCCCCATCACACTGAAGGAAATTACTTGTTTTCTGTGGCAGATTAAGGCTTGTATGCGAAGATTTTTCTCCTATGTCCTACAATTACTTGGGTTAATGCATATATTACGATGACCAGCAACTTTTTAAAGGGAAATTTTTTATCGTTATCCTGCAGCGTCCAATATGCCTGACAGATGGCCGCATAGCCACACCATGATTCGTGTGCGCTGTTATCCATTATCACGCCTGAATTCCCGACTCAATGTTCTTATTATGAATTCCGCATTAAACCAGTTGACAGTAATCTTCATGTTCTTAAATCTAAATGATACTTCCCTTGTTTTGTAGGACCTACAAAGGTGGCCGCAGTTCATAACAACACTTCTGGTTGATTGAACGTATTAAATCAACTATACTTAGCGTAATGGACACTTATTCATTAAATGTCAAGACAATAGCCTAAATTTACTTATTAAGAATATTAAATATTCTTGTTTAGTCCCAAAAATATGATTGAAATGATTTGAGCTATCTGTAAAGCATTAAAAAGCATTGTAAAAGTGAAAGGCAAGATCTTGTGACTCTACATACGAGATGAAAAAATACTCTTTTTAATCATTATTGCAGATGTGTTTGTTTTAGTTTCTCTATGATAGTTCCATAACCTTTGCCGTCTATTAGCGACAATGCTTCTAATTCAAGTATTTTAGGCAGCTTTGGTGTTACTTAGATTTAGCATTTGCTTTTCACTAAATTGCTATTTTTCCTGAAGTATTTACCAAGCTTGGAAATGCTAGAAAATAGTTGGGGGTGGTCCCAGGCCCATTTTTCAAACATCCATGACTTTTCTTCAACGGTTGCATCTTTGATTATGCTAAAATAAGTGAAGCTTGGCTTTCAATTTAAATAGAAATCGACCTTTTTACTCCTTTACAATATTTAAAAAAGGTGGTGTGATAAACATTAATTCTATACAGAATTAAAAAGGAATTCTGTACTTATCAGAACTTATTGATAAACTAAGGCTAAAAAATGCACCAGCTAAAGATTTGCGCTCCCTGTTCATTTAATGGTGAGGGACTAGAGGGACTGTGATAAAAAATATTGTCTAGTTGCAGTTTATAAGCCTTCTGTTCCTTTCTGTTGGACGTGGAAATGTTGCAAGAGCTCTTAGTATTGTTAACATTCTGTTAATGCAGCCTTCGATGTTAGGCCCAGTTAATATTGGGTAAGCCTGATTTAAATCAACTGTCAGTGAACGAGATAGCCCGACAAACAAAATTAAGCACAGGAAAAGGTAGTTTTATGTGAAATTTGGCTGAAAAACATACTGAATTTCTTTAACTTTATGCAACTTTTTTATTTCTTATTCAAAGTGATTCATGGAAACTTTTTATCACCGTCAAACACCAGAATCAATTCTTCAGCAAAAGAGCACCCCAGTGTGATAATTAGGTGGTTATGTTCAAAACCTGTATTAAATTGTCAAACTTAGCTACAAAAAGCAACAACAAGAAATAAGCTTCAGCTGAATTTGACTAACTTTATGGGAATCAATCATAAAATACAGTCTTCATAATTACAAAGCTCTATCCAATGCTTTTTAAACATACAAGAAACAGATTACTAAAATGGGCTAAGCTATAAAACATGTTTGACAAAGCTATATTGACTTTTGAAATATTGGCAAAGATAAAGGTTTGTCAAGGTAAAAACCTATTCATTGTAAGACGAAAGTGTACTACTTTCACACAAAGAAAATAGTAGCATTCTTCAAACAAGCAAAAATCAAAGCCTCGTACTGATTTCACTGAATGTGCCTATTAGGAACAAACCTTAAGAGGTCAATCCATAGGAATATAGAATATTCAAAGAGGTTTTGCTTGACGAGAAAACGTTTCAGCTTCTGCGTTATCAATAGTAAACACCAATTAATATATGATAATATAATGCATGATATGACATGACAATGATTTGATGTTGTTAGGTATCATTTCTATCCTCTTGGAAGGGTGAACGGCATTACCAGCTGATGCATTTTCCACAACAAATTTGTTTTTTTAATGTCCTTTACATATTACAAATTGAAAGTGTATCTGCATCATATAACTCCTTTTTGATTTTGAAAAATTTGACCCATCGTGATGTATTTTAATCGATCATTAGAAGAACAGCTTTACTAGAGCGGGAAGGGAGATGGCTTTCACACATGCATAATTTACTAACATACTAATTTTACTAACATACTAAATTTACTAACTTACTAACTAATGTTACGCCCTTCTTAGCAATCGTGAACCAATTTTCTGAAAGACAAACTAACTGCTAAGAATTTATCAAGCTGATTTATCAAATAAATATTAAAGTAGAAGTAAAAAAGCTAGCATTTAATAACTACAGTATATAAATATTCTTATAGAAGAGTAAGAAGCTTGGCAAGGAATTTTTACAGTAAATAAAATAGTTTAATTTAAAATGGAAGCTTTATTAAAAACGAGGCTTCGAATAAAAATATCAAAAATGTGAAGTCCTGCTTAGAACGGCACATTATAGTAATCTGATCATTGTTTTTCTTCTGCAAGCACAGTCCGGCATATACTTCTGCAAATTCAAGTGAGTTGGTATGATAATAGCTAGGATCATCCTGCATTCTTATATTGACGATATCTGTAACAAAAAATGTATCGTTTGATCATAATACAAATTATTAAAAAAATATATATATTATTGTGCCTACATATTTATTGGGCTGGGTGGTTTTCCAAGAGGAACGAATTTGTCGAAGAGTCATGCCGATAATGTGCGATAATTTTTGACGGCACAATATTTAGGAATAACTTGAGAAGCTATCTCGTTTTTAAATACTGAAGCTTGTCATCTGAGAGAAATGAATTATAAATAAAAATGGGGAAAGAAACAAGTTGTCGATAGTTGCGATGGAATGGTGCAAATAAGTTATCCGCATAGCAAAAGAAAATGATTATGAAATAATAGTCGATGTATTAAAAGAAAGCAAAATCTAATGGCATTTAATATCAATGAGGTTAAATTTTATTTAAAGATTTTGCCATGAAATACGCTTACATTCAGAAAGATGAAGTAATAAATCAAATTATTGTCAAAGTTGATAATAACCTTTGATCCCAAAATAAAGTTCACCAAATCTGCGAGATTCAGCGTTGAACTTCAACTTTCTTCCCGATTCTTTCAGCTTCAGGGTACCAACTGAACTTATTTCTTTAAAAACTAAAATCAATAGAACTTGTCTCATCAAAGGTTGGCAGGTTTTTTCCAAGAAATGAAGTTCTGCGTGTTATACGTCAAAAATGAACAAATTTGATACAATAAAATAACGACTTTGTACAAGAAATGAATTTTTGATACGGTGTTTCTAGCATAACTCTTCGTAAGGTAAAAAAAAATAGAAGGATTGAGATGCCACAGTCTCAATTCATTTAAACAAAGATGGCCATACACCAGCCAACATGAAAATCGCTGAACTTTGCTACGCACCTCTTAACAACATTAAACGCAAAACCTTTGAAAAACGGAATATTTTTAAACTTGGTACTCTTATTCCTAATGGTCTTAATAAACTATTTTCGATTCTTTCCTAATCCAGCTATTATTAATTTTAACCTTTTTTCTGAACTATACGCTTTCTACTCCTTACATAATTCCATCTCGTCTTACGTTCTACGTTTTATTCCTACAAAGTTCCATATCGATTATCTTTCGATTCTACTGTTCTATTCTCTTCTTAACCATTTCTCCTTCAATTCTTCTATTCTTTTTTACCTGATAAAGAGTTATGCTCGAAACGTCGTACAAAGTATTCATTTCTTGTACAAATTTGTTATTTTATTGTATCAAGGTTTTCTAAGCACTCAAAGTCAGTTATAATGTTATCATTAGGTGATGTCGCAAGCACTTCCAAGCAGGGAGACGTGGACAGGGCGGGGATCTGTCTCAGGAAGAGGGTCACCTTTTTAAAAGTCCTAAAAGGTTGGGAATTTGAGGGTTGTTCTAATATTTTTTGTTCTGTATATACTTGTCAGTAATTTCATCGATCGAAATGCAAGAAAAATAATGAATAAGCAAACTACCATTCTTCTACAAAGTTTTCACGCCTTTTGTAATACACCCATCAAAGATTTAATTCATTTATCTTATACTCAGAATCAATTAGAGATAACATATCTCCATTATTCTTAGAGAGAGTAAAACAATTGAAGAAAATTAGTTTTCTTACACTTTTTCCTCCATACAATTGCTCTCAGCCCGCGGTCTTTAAACAAAACTACAGTAGCTGTATGATTTGAATTCAATGCAATTCGGCCAACCATCGGAAAGAGCTGCCTGTATCGTAGCGATGCGAAACATGCCAGGGCTTTGCCGACATTAGGGGCGCGGCTCTGATCCATCATGGTGTAGTGATTTCCAGGACATTTGACAACACTGATTTGTTTCTCTAAAACTGATGACCAACAGTCTGGGGCGGAACCAACCCCTATTTGACAAAAACATTTCGAAGTTCCCTGGGACTGGATAGAGCTACTGCATAGGCAAGTTTCCGCTTGGATAAACAAGACATGCTTGTTGTACAAATTCTGTAGATAGGAAAATTTGAAATGGTTACGGACTTGATGCAGCTGTAAAGTGTTATTGATGCTGACGTTAATGCAAACAAAGTAGATTTTTGAACGGTATTTTTTGCGAAGAACATGTATAAGATACGTCCAATGAGAGGCGGTTTAGGATCTGCAAATCTTGCGACGGAAATGCCACACTGAAGGGAATTTCCGCCTGTGAAAATTCTGTCGATTGTCAAGATATGAAAACTTGGCACTTATAAAATGATATTCAACAATCATTTAACAATAATCAGTAAATAGTGCTTTACGTTTTCATGCAGTACGAAGTCAGGCCAATTTTGAAAATATGGTCGCAAATTTATAGCATTTAATAGATCTTTTTGTTAAAGCCACATTGTCATATTAAAAAGATTTTTCAAATACGGTCGTGATATGCAAATATGCTATAATGCTATTCAAGGATACTGAAAACGATTAATAAGCGATCCAACCTCTTGCGGAATCCATTCATGGTGACAACGTTTCGACATCTCTTGATCATCAATGGTACCCTGGAGAATGAGATCTAGCCTTGGAACATCAACTGACAAATTCATAGCTCTTTCATTCAAATGGTCTGCAACTTCCTCAATCGGTATTCTCTGAATAAGCTCACCAAACTCTGCTTGTGTCGTTTGCAGTTGTGTCGTAGCAATTTTGGAAAAGAACCCTTTGAGCTCCTCCTGAAGTAAAAGAATTTAGTTCTATCAGAATAACATATTTTGAAATTGTTCTCACCATGCTAAGAAATAAGATCAGTGTGACAGAAAATTATGGAGAAAAGAGGAGCATTGCTTATCATAATCGTCGCATGCGTTTTCTATTGGACCAAACTTCAAGCTCTTTAAAAATGTGACTCTAGTCTAAAATGTACTCACGTGGAGAATGTTCTTGTTAATAAGCTTAGCGCTGAACCCTTCCATTAAGAGCTGACAGTTGCTTTTAGCCTCTGGTAACCAGCGTAATGAATCTATCATAGTAATCATGGCAATCTTTTTCCCCATTTCCTGTAGAATTGATGCTATTTCTATTGCAACAAGACCACCAAACGAGTAGCCTCCTAAGAAATAAGGTCCTTGAGGCTGCTCCTCAAGTATCTTCTTTGTGCAGGCTATTGCAAGTCGTCGAACTGACTGGATGTCTTCACCAATATAGCTCGGATCAGGTGAACCGAATACATACAAACTAAACAGCTCCTGGAAGATGACACGAAGGTATTAACACGAGTTTGCGACCATAAAACTTCTAAAAAAGGAATTGTCTGTGAAAATGGCAAACGACTTCATTAGCGAGAATAAAAGTTCTAGTAACATAGAAACCTGGTACTTCATGCCAGCAGCCATGCCACGAAATATTCCAGCATAACGGTGAGACGGATGAACAATGAAGATTTTTGCTTTGGCATCGGGGGGATCATAAATGCAGTTGAGGTAATCTTCGGGCAGAACAAGATTATTGTCCATTTCAACAGCAGGAGCAATTCGACGGAACGAGTTGAAGAATCGACGCGAGCTCTCCCGCCTCTTTCTGAATGATGCATTTCCTAAGAGTGACAGAATAAGTTTCGAATAAACCTTTTAAATAATCAAGTACCTATAAACTGAATTGATTTAGAAGGGGAATTTAACGGACAGAAAACTACAAATGAGTTACCTGGTTCGTTAACCTGTTCGGCGTCAGTTTCTGCTAGAACAGATTCATTTATTCTTTTCACAAGTTCTTTCGTTAGACTAGTAGTCGTTGTCTCAGGGAGCATGAAGTAAAATACCTGAGTAAACAAAAGTTGATTTACAAAAGAATTGAAAACACCTCGAGCTCTAGCAAAGTCTTTGAAAGCAAAAACTTTTGAAATTGACTTGGAAAAGAATAAGAAGACGTTATTGTGTTGGTGAAATAAGTTTAATTACCTCCAAATCCACACTGAAATGTTGAAATATTTGTGCCTTGAAAATAGCAGCCCCAACCGAATCAATACCATATGTAAAGAATGGAACATTACAATCGACCTCTTCTTCACTTCCACCAATCCACTTAGCAAGCCACCCAGTTATGAATTTTGTAACAATCTCGGATTGCCTTTCTACTGATGCTTCCTGTTTTATCAGTTCTAGCAATGCAACCCCACTGTCATTAATCTCTTCTGGTAGATCTTCCTGGATGTGCTTAAACATTGTCATATTGCCTCTTTGCATTGTCTTTAAGTATTTGGCCCAGTCAACGTCACATATGCAAACGGTGGACTTCGTTGGTGTTTCCACAAGAACCCGCTCCAACCATTTCAGTCCTTCAAGAGAAAATTAGATATCTTCTATAATGGAAATTGTTGTCAGTCTAAACGGCAAGTCTAAGTTGATTGAAGTATTGAATATTTCAACTCAAAACAGCTAGTGCTTTATTTAATTTTTGCTTTTTTGCCCCTTATTGATTTCATTTATCGGTTCAAGAAAGTCGAATGTTTCTAAACAATGTGAGAAAAAAATTTAATCTCCGTCTGCGGCTTTGTTGTTGTTTTCGTGTAATTTTCTTTTTAATCTTGATTTTTCTATGATATTTCTGACAACTATATCTCTATGATGGTAAACTGTTTGAGAAAACTAATATTAACCTTTCAAGCCCATCTTTTATTTTGAAACCATTTGCTACATCTACATTGCGGTAAAGGGCAATCGGGTTGAAAATATAAGAACTTTACCTGTATTTATGTCTAGAAGGTGAAGACCAGTTTCTTCTAGCAAGGTTGCAAGTTTAGCATTATCCTTCAACATGCCTGCCCCACCCATTGCTCCCCAGCAAACGGCAAGGCAAGGTTTTTTCAGAACTTCAGCACGATAATCAGCAAAGCTGTTTAGGAATCCATTTGCTGCTGAATAGGAAGTTTGTCCACTGTTTCCTATTATTGATGTTATGGAAGAGTAAAGCACGAAGAAGTCTACGTTCTCCATTCGCTTCTCAAGCAGACTATGAAGCACCAGAGTTCCTATATAAGAAAAATTGAATATAGAAGACCTTTGATGGACTTTTTGTGTCTCATGTACATGACATATGCTTATCACAGAAACAACCTTTGTTTGCGTATTTTTCCTATAGTTAAATAGATTGGGACAAAACTTTGGAACGACCTATCAGTTCAAGACTCTACAAAGAGTGTCCTATCAAAAAGAATTCAAATCTTTCCTTGCTAGATTCTATACGAGTGCCTAAATAAATTTTATTTCAATACATTCAA